GTCAAACCAGTCTAAACCAAGCACATTAAGATCAGCGGGTGTGATGTAACATACCCCGGCAAAGGCCGGGTCATGAAAAGAAACTTTACAATCCAGTTGTCTCAACAAACGTAGATAATTACCCCATGCATTTAGAGGTTTCTGTGTTGTTGGCACCGTGCGTGGTCTTCCCATTTTTACCCAATATTTTCGTGAGAGAATTGTTACGTCAGATGCAGTGTCCATTCTCAACCTAAACGGGCGCCCATTAATATATTAAGGGTAATACATTTCCCCTCACCTAGGGTTGAGTTCTGACAGCTTGCCATTAGACTCAACGAATTCGTGTTGGATCTAGGCATAGGCTTTCTGGTACCTCTGAAGCTGCTTGGCTTCATTTTTTCGACAAAAACCATCTTTATGACCCATCGCATTACATTTCCTGCACCGATGTTATTTATATGGACAGCTTCGAATAAAATGTCATGCACCTCAGTACCAACATGGGGCAGGAGGATGTGTTTTTGTCTGTTGACCTGAACTAGATGTCGCTGGGGGAGGCTTATGCGGGTTAGGTGGTTGTTGGACCACATGAACTTCTGTATGATCTGAACCACCACGCTGGACCATCGTAGGGTCACGCTGTAAATTGATTAGACATTGATATTCGTTTTCAATATCATTAAGAGTTAGTTTTGGGTCATGGTTCAATCGACTTAGCAAGAGTGTCCTAATTTCACTGAACTTTTGCGATTGGAGGCTGCCGATGATAATGAGAGCCTTAAATTGGTCTTCCGTAAGCGACTTCAACCGGAAGCGTTCGCATTCTCGGTTGACGATACCCACATGTGTAAGAAAATCAGCATTTTCGTTCATAGTGAGCTTCAAACATCGATAGCGCGCATTGAATACTGAAGAGTTGTCTCAATGACTGAACAGTGTTCGAGAATGGGCGATCGCGTGGGTTTAGGGCATAATTAGGTTGCAATACCTGCCTAGTTCACTAGGACCGAAGTAGCAGCTGAACCTTCCAAGCATTATATTGGTAAGCGAAATCAAATTTCAATAGGACTTCATAACACATGTCAAAAGTAACGTTGGAGTCAGGATCATAATGAAACTTAGTAATGCTATTTGCGAGGTCATCTACTGATTGTGCTGTAGTTGCATTAGATGTGCTAGGATGTGTGGGAGGCAAAATCTTGATATCTGCCAACATTTGCATTAGTTTCAATTGCTGCTCGAGTAATAATTCAAGTTTGCAAGGATTCGTGTATCCGAAACCACCACCGCCAAATTTGCTAGGTTTGAAGCTATTACGAGTTCACTTAGTATACGAACAAAACAAAGTCTTGTGACCGTCGACCAATAAGCTAGCTATTTGATGCGTCCCAGCCCCGCTAACTAAAGGAAGAAGTCCAGGTTTGGAACGGGAAAGTATATTCCGTAAGCCAGAAGCACGAGTGAATAATAACAGACACAAATCAAACGTATATAAAGCATAAAACTCTCATTGGGAAGCGTTGCAAAAATAGTATACTGAAAGTACACAACGGACCAGTAACGTTGAAGATTCTCTCAATCGGGAGATACGACATGAAGTTGTAAACAGGCGCTTTTGGCGCGAAAACAAGGAAATTTAAATTTCCAAAACAAAATTACAAAATTAAGGCATTTACCAAGTGAGTTCTGGAGATCTAACACCCCAAGCACGCTCTGACACGTTTTTTGAATCCCTTGAAGTTAATGCTATTAAGGTTACTCTAACAAAAACAGAGTCGATGGTCATTTGTCTAAGTCTCAGTGTTTCCCCTGTTCATGTTTTGTGGTTTTGGAGGAAAGTTCGTAGAATTACGGTCTAAATCACTATAACAACAGATTCAATCCTGAAACTGTACGTTTGTCATGATGTGACTATCTTATCTATGAGGTCTTATGCGGTAGTCCCACTATTGTATACCTTGACTCATCGCCTCGTAAGAATGAGCACTATAACATCTAGCGCTTTTGACGATCACATTTGAGCTTAAGAATAGTATATTTGCTGTCGGTGGGGACAAGTTAAACAAATTGACCACCTCTAGAAGGCTGGCCCATGTCATCCGATCAATTTCAAGTGAATATTCCCACGTTCAACTTTTTAAACTTTAACTTGAAGTTACATGCTGAAAGTGAATCTCCTCGGTAATTATATGTTCAGCTCCGAATATGGTGTGGTTGTAAACCAATACAACGAAAAGTTTTCTATCTATATTACTGCATTAAGTGGCTGCATCCCTTTGGCATCGCTCGGCATTAACACCTGCGACTTTTTGATTCTTACATTTGACCTATTATTATTTACGGCCCTCCATCATTATATTTTCGGAATTTCGAAAAAAGATTTTACGAGGTTATGATTAGTACAGTTGTGGATAGGCATTTGTTATCAGATACTAGCTTTACATTTTTTCCAAATGTTTTTCCTTGCATATCTCCTGGTAGAACTCGACGACAATGCATTATTACCCATACACGGAAGCCAAAACACAAAAGCTCTGCAGTGCCTTATCTAGCAAATATAATACAGGACGAATAGGTTGTTGAGGCTGGGTTGGTCAAATACTTACTTTTTTAGACATAAACCAGTACAGATTCATATCTTATGGAAAATCATTTCGTTCAGATCTAGGTAGTTCATTTATTTGATTTGTGTATATATAAGTGCGGTTATCTGTTTTCTTTTTCTGCGAAATAAACTTGTTGGAATACTTTGGGGTGAGAGTTCTATGTAGTACTACACATTTATTATTGAATAAACGCATGAATATTAGTGATATTGTATACTTAGACCAACGGTCTTGGCGTCTAATCATATTTTGGGAAATTACCAGGGCAGTTCCAAATTTTCTGTTTATTATTTTTTAATTATTATTATTAATGGCTTTATTCAATATTATATTTTGGTACAATATAGAATTCTCAGCAGCGAATTCGAAATGTGAACACTGCCGAAGGTTATATTTTCCAGTACACATAGAGGCGATGAGATTACCATACGTATAGGAATTGAATTGCTAGTTGGTGACAGTAAACCATGATTTATGCATGATTGCGCGCTCTCTAGTGCGGGAGTCACTGGGATGTTTCATGTGTCATGATGATTTTGTTGACATTTTATTACTAAGAGATCGATATTACGTGGTATTATATATTGCACACCGTCAGCTAATATTTTTGAAGAAAATTGAATTTCGCAATTAAACAAACCGCGAGGATTACAAAATTTTGGGCAGTCACCAAACCTAACATATGTAATGGGTTATGCTACCTCCTAGAAAAAATTGTAGTTCATTTGCCTCATCTATGTTCCATGTACTGTTCCGTTTCATTTAGTTTTTGATACTCTTGTTGTTGATGTTCTGAACGGCCTGAACACTCTACATTCATGGTGCGAATGTTATTTTACGTAGGGTAGAATAAATGCTTCATGGTTTATCTAACCAAAGTGCTGATGAGTTAACTATTCCATAGGTTTTGGAGTCCCCTTCAAAATAAGTTAGTTGACTGTTTAATAAGAAATTTGTTGGTTTCTCGCTCCTGCCCTTATTTTTGTTGCTTAAGGCAGAGTTATTGTCCTCAGTCACACTTTCCACCTTCCGTTCTCTATATGAGCTCACTTTAATTCTTGGAGTTATATTGTGAACATAGTCTTAAAGAACTGCTATCCTCTTTAGAATCTTTAGGCTATGAGATTTAGTTTCATCTGGAACGATAGTTTGTTAAGCAAGATTGACAGATTTTCAAAAATTCAGTTACGGAGTCGCTTAGGTTTCAGAGAGTGCAGGAGCATCTGAACTCGATTTACCTCCTTCGTCGTATTTATGAGTATGAGATGACTGTAAATTCCAAAGTACCTGAATGTAACTGAATTGTTTTATTCCTTGTTCGAAATTCGGAAAGACATTCAGAATTTCTCATCGAGCCATCATCGATTGCAATGGCCTGAGTACAATACTTTCCCTGGGTTACTCTTAAAGGAAAATGAGTAGGCATGGAATTCATGTTTGAAAATAATATTACCGATCCTGAACTATTCACAAGAATCATGATGTCTAACAACAGAAAACTAATACGTTTTTGCAAATTTTACGAAACAAGGACTTCATTTATCTTACACCAAAAACCTCATTTTCCTATACACATGGAACAGTCTTTGAGAGATGATAACTGAATATCTTTTGCACTTCAAACTGTGAAACAGTCCATGTGAGTCACGTTTCAGGCTACAGGTAAAACTTGGGCAACAATTTGGAACATATCCAATGACGAGACAAGAAATCATATCGGGACTCGAATTCAAGCCTTATGAAAAGCGCCTCTAGTCACTAAACCTTTACAAATTGGAGTACAGGCGTCTTAAAAGTGACAACTACTTAAGCTTATTTTTACCACAAACCTTAGGGGTAACACCCAAAAACCGGAGCCACATTACAGCAGAACGGACTGTAGACACAACTCCTACTCCTTAAGAATTGTTAAATTCTGGAATTCGCTGCTAACTGGGCTCGCACAAACGACTTCATATGAGTTCTTTAATAGATAGCTTGACATGTTCTTGGAGACTTAAGTTAGTATATTATTATGATTTATCAATCTTTTTATTCTCTTCCCTCTTTTATAGATAATATACCTAGGTTCCTGCCTGGAAGTATTGGTGATTTAATGCTTCTAGATGCGGAAGCTCGTCAAGCGAAAGCTCCTTCTATTCCGTCCAAAACTATTTGCATGAGACAATCTATTCACCTTTGATGCCCATTTTGGTTCCACATAACGACATTGTGTTACAAAAATAAGAGGTTCGTTACAGGGTGACGATAAGATACTGAGTACCGTAAAGTAGCGTGATAACTTCTGTGGTGAAGAAATTTAAAATCTCGAGGTCATCTCCGGCCCATCGTATCCGTGTTTTTGATTGAATCTCCCTTTCAATTCCAAGGGTTTTCTGACTTCATCTAACATCCCATTCCATTTTAGCAAAAATGAGAGGTAATTTAACACAATTTTTTGTTGTTACCAATTGAAGCTGTAATCGATAAATGATTAACGCTGAATATCCACTTACTAGCTATTTGACCACAAACATTGGTACAAGGAGGCATCAAATATATATGCGCCATACAATTCAAATAGTTTGTGTGAGGGCTGGGACAGTTCCTGGGCGTCCAAACTGAAGCAAGTGGTTCAGTCAGGGGGCCGCACTCTTGTCTAATCTCTTGCCATGCCACCATGTGGCAATTTTCAGCTATTCAAGTCGTTAAACATTTTTGGTTCTAATTTACTGTCATTACGAGTAGCCTGATTATTAAATCCTCCGTATTCTTATACCCTCTTCATATTTTTTACCATTTAGTGTTGTTGCTACCATCATTATGACAACTTTATAGCTGTCTTTTGATAATGTCCATTACCTTCGTCATCCTGTGTATAATAATCTTGACAATCTACATGTTTCTCGTACTCAAATACCTCATATTCTCTCGACAATCACATTTGTTTACAAATCGAATTTGTGTGAATACGGACATTATTTGGGATTACTTTAAACTAAAGATAAAACTGACACATCTCACTACATGGTAAAGTACTCAACTATACAAATCACTGCAGTTAAGGAAGAGTTCACACTCACCAAACTAAATGAATACAGTTTGTCGCACGGTGTTTGTTGCTTTTCCCTTCCAAAGATTATTGGCCTGTTTAGGTTGGGGCCGGCTAAGCTAGAGGAAAAGGCTAACACTGTCTTACATTATGCAATTTTCAAAATTTACACTATTTTTCAGGTTTTCTAGACTAACTAGCTAATCTGAAAGCATTAATATTGATATGGTCTTGAGCTCATAATTAACTTCGGTCGTACGATTGTCTTGTTTTATATTTAAAAAAATAGGCAAACGTATGCACAAAGGTAGAACCCGAAAGTTTACTGCCCCGGAAGAAATTGATCGTCAACTTGGAGTAAGTTATACAAAATTTTGGAAGTTGGCCATCAAGTTTTGTCTCTAGAATTCTATTTTTAAAGCAGATTTGACCATAAATCTGGGTGTTATGTCGTTTTCGAGACTGGCTCTTCACACATTATATGGCGAGCAAGGTTTATACACCACGTTATTGATTACAATATTTGTTCTGTGTGAACGAAGTACATGGTTAGAGCGGAATACAAATATATAATTAATCGTGTGCTGTCACTTACACTCTGGGTCAGTCTGTAGTATAAACTGTAAATCCAAAAATCTCCAGGCTACCGGCACTAATAATAATCATACGCTTATCAGTAACTAACAATGGGCCATTTAGATGTAGGTCAAATGCTAAGTGACGTGCTGACAGGCTCACGCTATCGGTCAAGCTCTGGTTTCATTTTCTAAGAAAAGGGACACTGTATTGATTGGAAATGCAGCGTTGTCTTCTGAAGAGGATAGACATAAATTAGGTATACACATGTTTCCGATTCAATTTAACAAATAAAAGCTCCCTACTCATTTTCGGTTTTTGCACTCAAATAGCCCGTTGGGTTTCCGTATAAGAAACGTGTATATTGGTATCAGACTCTGTCGATGGCAGAACATAACATTAACTAAATTCGAGAGGCAGTTACTGAGGTTATAGCGGAAGTCCATAATTAGTCGAGTTCAACCGTGTTTGGAGGAGGTCAATTAACCATTAATGGCGGGGGATGATTTTCGCTCAATATCACATTAGGTGAATGAAGTTAGATGTAAAACATTAGGTCTTAACTCAGCGATTGGGAGATTCAGCGCTCGCCACTAAGCATCAAGGCACGAGGTTTGTTCTATAAGTTAGTCTCATCATTCACACTATAGAGGAGTCTCATACTAGGAAAAAATAGCTATTCGGCACTTCCAATCTACATACAGTTAATCTGTGGTCTGAACTGCAAGAGTCCTTTTTTTCGAACTGATTGTTTCCAACTTTTGCTTACAGATATTATCATAAAATTTGCATTTATGGCACATCATTCAACGCTTATTATCATATTGGTCGATTTACTTTTTTAGTTATCTAAAGAAGCTGAATCATCTCTCCATAAAACAATTCATGACAAGAATATTGACGATACTGAAACGGATGATGATGATGAGGAGGAGGAGGAGGATGAAGATGATGACGATGAGCAAGACACAACTGAACGTCATAAGGGTGTTAGTCATTTGATTGAAGTTTGCAATCCTAATCATGTAAAATCTTCCAAAACAGTTGTGTAAGTTATTCTAATCAATTGATGTTTTGATAGTGTAATGGTGATTTCGGTTGATATTTTTTGAGCCTCGTCTCTAAAGAATCAGAAGATATTGATTCTAATGTAATAGTATGTGCTATGCATTTAATACCGAACAGGCCCCCAAATGTGCTGGTACGGCCGAAAGTGGGGAGTGTCAGCTCGCCCTCTTGAAATGCTCTCATATGGCCACGTGCATACAACCACTGTCAGGAAAGTCCTACTCACTGCCTTCTCGCGGCAATACTGTTTTTTTTTTTACGAAATTGGGAGGACGAAAAGCGAATATTCGGCTCTTTAACCGGGTTGGTGGTCACGGGGAGTCCACTTAGGAGAGTTAGAAAACCCTGATTCCAAACCAGTAGTGCACATGATCTCCGGTATCCTGAAGGAACAAATAACGTATTAGCCTATTGATGGTCACGGGCTACCACGGGACTGCATTCTCTTACGTTGCTCCACTGTCTTGTGGATTAGACCCGGGTGGGGCTCCCTAAAAAAACCACGTGCTTTTATCTGGGCATCCGGGGAGTATCCCAGTCCTCACATAAATCTAGTGTCTGGTGGCGCATGTCTGTTTGTTGCCTCCTTGTACCAATGTTTATGTGTTTAAATAATAATAATACTGAACAAGAAATAGTATTTACTAGGTAAATGAAAAAGATTACCCGACTTCCATAGACATTTCTTTGGAATGATATTACCCCTGTCATGCACATCAACACACAAAAAGTTACTCTGACTTATTGACTTACTTTTATCAGTTATTATTATTGTTTATTATTTAAACACAAACATTGGCACAAGGAGGCACCAAGTAGATATGCGCCACATAAATCATTCGATTTGTGTGAGGGCTGTGATACTCCCCGGGTGCCCAGACCGAAGCAGGTGGTTTTCTTAGGGGGCCACACCCCGAGCCTTTGACCTAAAGGTCTAATCCACAAGACAGTGGAGCAACGTAAGAGAATGCAGTCCCGTGGTAGCCGGTGACCAATGATTGGTTCACACGCCATTTGTTCCCGCAGGATACTGGAGCCCATGTGCATCATTGGTTTGGAATCCTGTTAAAGCGCCGGACATTCGCTTTTCGTCCTCTCACTTTCGTAAACAACAGTAATGCCACGAGAAGGCAGTGAGTAGGACTTTCCTGGCAGAGGCTGTATACGCGTGGCCGTGTGAGAGTATTTCGAGACGGAGGACGGGCCCACCCGACTCTCGGCCATACCAGGGCATTTGGGGGCCGGGTGTCGTCGGCTTGCCGGCGACCATACCACGTTTTATCAGTTACCCCAGTTATATTCCTACTTTAAATTTATTATCGTGTTTCAGGATGATAGGCGATCCAAATCTTTTCAGATACGTATTACGTATGCCGAACCACCTCATACCTTGACACCCGATATTGGCTGGTGTAGAGGTAGGTTGGAAAAAAAATTAATAGAAACACCCAAAACCAGACACAACGTCTATGAAATCATTGACTGTTGGTCTAAGTTATATTAGTAGGTTCAGACCATCTGGTTAGGATATGTTCAAACATCGAAACCAATGGTATGAGACGTTAAATGGCGTGCTTAGTCACAACGCCACAGAAGCATCCACTCTTTGTCTTCCTTTAGACCTTGAGTTGTAAAATTCTTATACTTTTATCATACCGATTTATGTCCTATAATCACCTGTGTGGCTGGTCTGTTCACTAAAACTGATAACACTACTTCTAGATAATTTCATGTCTCTGTAATGATGTATTATGACTAATTGAACTGATTTACATATGTTCCAGGTTCTATGTTGCTTATGACTGACTGATTAAACGTTACTCCGTCTAGTTCAGTTTGGACAGCCGATTCGTATCATTAGCTCTCAAAACCAATATACCTTAGAGGTGCACTGAGTGAATGTGTTGTTTTAATAGATGGTAATAAAGAAATTCCACTGATTACGTATATGTTGCATTTCATCAATATTATTTGTAAACTGCATGCAAATTAGCTATTAAACTAAGTTTTTTTCTTAAAGAAAAAGTAGTAATTTCTTCTATATTTCAGTCCTTCACGAAAAGAAGTTGCCGCATCTATTAAAGCTACAACTGATCCAATAAAATTATTATCGGAAACTGAATTAGCAGCTAACATAGCACGTCTTCAATTAGTTAGGAAAGAACGTGAATTAGCAGCTCAAAAACTTGAACAAGAAAAACAAGGTAAACTATAATTTGTACTTTTACATATTATTCAGACAGTATACAATTGTGAGTATAGTTTTTAAAATGTAAGTTATATATATAGAAAGAGTAGAAAAAAAGGACACCTCGTAGTTTAGGTATTCCCCTAAATCATTGAGTAGTTTTTGTATGATAAGATTAATTGTTTATCGAATTGTATTAAAACTCAGAAAAAGTTCTCAGTCGTCAAGTTAATTACTGTCAGTAGTAAGAGCATGCATCAGTCAATCAGCTACAACGTAGGACTCTGCACATACATGCACCGGTCCAAGTTGCCATACCGTATTAGCACAACAAGATGTACACCGATTTCATAGACTCAGTTAATTCAGTGGTGGTAATATATAAAGGAAAGGTTGCATATAAAGATATAGTACAGCAAGAAAGAATTAGTACGTAAAAAGAAAGATTTGAAGCGATATTAATCTCATAGTTTAAGGGAAGACAGAGAGTGTATACACCTACGCCATTGTGATCGATTCTGGGCGATATCACCCATAGTGTCCAACCATTGGTTACGATAGTCACGCAGACCCCAACCAAGTAGTCTGCATCTACCAACATGGCTCAGACTAGAAGTTAGTGACTTTATGGACTGATGCCACGTTTTGGTTTGGCCACCCCTAACTTTCTTCCAACCATGTCCAACAGCTAGTCAGCATTGCACGTCGTGGTAATCGGTGTCCAGTTATACGTAACACGTGGTCCAACCATCTCAGTTGATGAAAATTCACAACCTCATCAACTGGTTTACCATCATTCCCTAATACCCTGCGTCCCAGCAGATGTAAGCAATATATCTGAGGCATCTGTTGCCAAATACTAGTAGCTTACGAATATCTTCTATTCTTAATGACCACGTTTCGCAGCCGTAAAGTATAAAAGAACGAACTGCCGCGCAGTATATTCGTCCCTTAGTTGATAAACGGATATCTCGCCTTCGCCATAAATGACGTAAGTTGGCAAAAGCCGAACGAGCTTTTCAAATCCATACTGAGATTTCGTCGGACACAAACCCATTAGGGCTGACCAGACTTCCGAGATAAGTGAAGTTGTCAACACGTTCAACCACTTCATTTCCTATCCTCAGTTCAGGTGTTAATGCAGGCCAATCTTGAAGGAACAACTTGCATGCATATAATCTATCAAGCCGATTAATGAATTAGTGTGTGGTGGTCGGTATTCGATATATCCCTTAAACTTCGTATACAATTCGTCTTGATAACCGTCCTATTTAACCCCAACGGTATATTATTCAGAAGGCGAATACGAAGCGTTGATTACATTTATTTCGAGACCACACACACAGATGTCCAAAAATTACAGATGCATTAAACGAGCATTAAGAGTTGTGTCGAACGGCAAACAGGCAAGCGAGCGACTGAGTGAATGTAAGTAATCGAGTACAATCAAGCGAGCGAGAAAGCAGAGTCAACCATATGAATAACGTGGACATATATATAGCATGTGAAATTAATGAGTAATCGAATCAAATAAGCGGTTAGTAGTGAGACTAGCAGAGTGACATAAATGCGTAGGTCGTAAGCAATATTCAAGCATGCGTATTTCATACAAGCACAAAATAGTAATAAGGGTACAATAAATTGTTATAGTGCGGATGGCTTTGTCCGCTAAATAAGTTAGCAAAAGGGCTTAACTGAGTTAAATGAGAACAAACCCATTTGCACGTGAGTCGCTATAAGTGAATATTTAAACAAAACGTACTCACCATTATAGTTAGTTCTGAAAGAGTAGTAGAGCAGTATATGCGTTAGTCTTCTTGCATCAGATATCTTGCTCAATCTACTTCTGTTTGAACAACTGGACAATCTTACTAACTTACATTGATAGTATAGTTCAAAGTTAAGTTCATAAAATTGTATTTAGTTTCTCTAAAGTAATCAACTTAAGGTTAAATTGGAATTCAATTATTTTGGTATTTTAAGCATAACAAAACTTTAACAGTCAAGTTTCAGTGTTACTAAAAAGCAACTATTATTTTCGTAACAACAATTGTAAAATTAAATAGAATGCGCTGAAAAAAAAAAACTAATGTAATGTAAACGATAGAAATGATAGGGGTAATAATTTTGAAAAAAAAAATTATAAATAAATCCAAATCCCATTTCATAATCAACGACCCTGGTAAAAATATACATTGAATGAATAGTAAATAAGTTGAAATAAACATAGTAACTATGGTAATAGGAATAAATAGACGTTGAGAGTATGGTTTTTAAAAAAATTGAAACGAAAAGATATGTATAAAAAAGTACTGAAAATCAAGATCTAGAGCGATGGTTTAGACGTCTGTAACCAATTCTGAGATATGTAATTTACTAATTATTATATTTATTTGAACATATAAATATATGCACCGAATAGATACGCACTACACAAGTCACTTAATTTGTGTGTGGGCTGTGATCCTGTCCGGGTGCCCAAACCAAACCAGGTGGTTTTCTTAGGGGGCCACACCCGGAGCTTTCGACCTGAAGGTCTTGTCCACAAGGCAGTAGGGCAACTTCGGATGGTAGACGGTGACCAGTAATTGGTTCATACACTATCCGTTCCTTCAGGATCCTGCAACCCATATACACCATTAGTTTGTAATCAGGGTTTTCCAACTCCCCTAAATGGAATCTCCGTATCTACCAACCCGTGTAAAGAGCCGAACATTCGCTTTTTGTCCTCTCGATTTCGTAAACAGTAATGCTGCGAGAAGGTTGTGATTAGGACTTCCCTGTCAGTGGCTGTATACATGTGGCTATATGAGAGTATCTGGAGAGGAGACTCTCTCCACTTTCAGCCGAACCAGAGCATTTGGGGGCTACATATGTCATGCAAGTCTCCAGCCAGTGATTAGGCAGATACCAACCAGATGGTTTTCACCTACCAATACAGCTTAGTTCAATAGTCAATGAACTCATTGATTAGTGCCACGTTTTGGTTCAGCCGCCCTTTTTTTTCCGACTTTCTCCTACACTGGTTAATATTGTACGCCAGGGTAAAACGTCGTATGGAAGGCATAACGCTTATCCTGACCTCCTCAGTCGGTGATAATGAACTGACTTTCAGCCTAAGATTCCTATTTTGTAGACCACGATCCACTTTTTCCAGTAGTTAGGAAATAACAACTCGTTAGATCCCTATATGTATATATTTAATGATACTAAAAGTTTAGATGGTGGTTGGAGGTAGTCAACAGGAAACCCTGGACCCGGGTTTCGTGCTACTTGGCACTCGTCAGCAAGGTGTACCTGTAATCTTGAGAGAACTGGTGCTCCCTGGCGGATTCGATCCCGTGTCACCAAGTTTCACAGTCAGAGACGTTACCACTGAGCTATCCGAGCCGTGACAAACATCCTGTAGGACTGAGATATAATCACAATTGATTGATCACTGGGTGGTGATCAATGTCATGCTTGTCTAGTCCTTATTAGTGCAGATCGAATGCTATCGATCATGTTGCAATGTGGCCACCAGTCTAGGTGACTCGACACTGCGGGCACTATGCATTGAGATTTAGATGGTAGTTTGAGATAGTCAACAGGAAACCCTGGACCCGGGTTTCGTGCTACTTGGCACTCGTCAGCAGGTTGTGCCTGTCGAGTCACCTAGACTGGTGGCCACATTGCAACATGATCGATAGCATTCGATCTGCACTAATGAGGACTAGACAAGCATGACATTGATCACCACCCAGTGATCAACCAATTGTGATACTAAAAGTTTATACATGCAATATATTCTTCCATGTAAAACTTGTTTTATTTCATACCATACGAGTATTTAAAATAATGTTTATGTTTCCTTAATCTCACAATCTTATCATCATTTAGCCCGTGAAGCACAGCGTGCAGCAATCGCTGCAGCCAAACGTACATCTCAGACAAAACCACAACAGAAAAGTGGTCGTAGTGGTAAACAACATACTAAAAGTAACAAAGAACATCAAATAGTCAATCAAAGAAACAATACAAACTCATCAGTACTCACCGATGATAACTGATCGATTAATTGGTTGGTCAATGATTATATTGTTCCTAAGTCTATGTTTGTCTGATGACTCAAATATAAAGATGAGGAATAACAACTATGTTGTAAAGTTGACACACATATTCACCTTTTCGTTTGATAAAAAAAATACTCAAGCAAATCCAACTATCCTTATTCTTTTCAATACATACCATAAGACTGTTTTAGATTACATTCTCTGTTATCTGAATTTCTGTATTAATAACATGAAAAGTTAATTCATAAATTGTATACTTTTTATCCAACATGCTCTTTTATACATTTTAATAACTAGATAAAACATTTATATATATATATATATATATATATATATATACAGCTGTATTAAGCTTGATAATACCTTCAATGAGTTTTTAGAGCAAATGGTTGTTTGTATGTATAGTGCAATCACTAAGTAGAGAATTTCAAGGTTTAACACAGTATAGTGAATATAAAATGATAAGTGGTTTTCATGAAATTATGAATGGTTGGGACGTGCCACATGTATCTGATTCCATAGCCTACCTTAATATACTATGCTGGCAAGTGTACAATTAACTTAGAGAAGACCAGAAATAGTTAAATGAAGAATGGATCAGTCTCTGAATTTACTGACTGTTTTTGTCTCATTTGTGTTGGGCGATTTAAAGATCCTAACGAGGATGCATGAGATAAAAAGGATCTTGGACTTAGATCTCCCGTCAGTGAAAGAATGAACTGTTTCATTAGGCAAGAAGTGTATTATATTTAGTACTGATTTTTATTATCTCTTCCTCTCGTCGTCTACCTTTCCTAATATCACATTCGAGTGATACAAATCTTTGGTTTCAAACTCTGACAGCTTTTTCTCTTAGTTTTACCATCCCCATCCCCCAATTGACCTACTTGAAATCGTAATAACTCAATAATCAAGTGTCTCAACTGGACTAAATCATCGCATTACAGTGAAATCTGACCATCATGTGCATTAACAGATTTTGTCAAGTCAGTTAATTTTAGTCATAGTTATGAGTATACTTGTTGTAAGGACGACATTCCCTGGTTTTTCTTTGCATTAAATAAAGCTTGAGTTCTTCACGTGTAAATGTTAGGTCAATTAGAAATTGCGTGATTAAAAAATTTAACCAACAAGCCGAATTATAACAAACATTGATATATTTAAGACTTACAGGATACCGTTGAATGATGTATTCAATTGTGGTGATTGTTTCTTCTCAAATAAAACCTTAGTAACATAATTGAGGAACGTATACTCGTCTGTATTTATAGTACGTCATAATCTTGTACTTAGTGCGTATAATCACATGGATTGTAAGTTTGGAGAATACAATACAGTGAGTTGTTTGTCCGATCTTCCTGGCGTTCTGATTGATGATTAAAATTGCAGTATCGCGTGGACTATCCAACCGCTTTAGCATATACATTAACGGCGTTAACTGGAATATAGTATAGAAAAATTTCACAAACCCTACTCCATATACTACCAAGTGAAGATAGTCTCGTTGAAATTGGTGTAAGTTATAATCCTGGTCCCAGTGAACACATTTTATTTGAAGAATGCAACATTTTTGTTGTTATTACAAAACAGAGCATTCCGGAACACCTTTACTACCATCCACAGAAGAAAGAGACTAGCTGATGAATGTTTTCAAGTTGTATTTTTTAACTAGCCTACTTGAAACTTTGAGAAAAGTCTCATCACAACATAATCCCATAGAATACACTGCTTTAATTCAAAGAAAATAAACCTTGAATATATCCATGTGATTTTCACCCGAGAAAACCCAGTAGAACAAATTAGATCCATTGTAGTGTCACCTACCATGTTAAGTCCATATACCTTGTACCAGCTTCTGGACAGGCTAATTTATCCGTTATTGTTGAGTCACGTTTTGACCTTGTTAATTATTCACTTACCAACCCTAATAGTTTTTATATGAGCGTATGTGTGTATACACTCCTTATCCTATTCACCACATGTCTGTAACCTATTTTTACCTGGCTATGAATATTGATTGAATCGAGTTGGTTCACATACCTTCTCCACTCTGCACGTCATTTCACGTCACTCTCTTCTCTTTATTTCGTCTCGTTGATTGCCTGTTCAAATCACTGAGTTCATAAAATACACATAATCAAAATCCATTGTTCGTATTAGGCTTATTAAATTCCGTTATATTCACTAACGCGAATTAAGTCGATAATCATATACGAGAAAAGTTAGGATGTATATTTTGACAGCAATCATTCATACGATCTACTTAGAGTCAGATCCCGAACCACTAAAGCGTAACAAATAAAAAAAAGTACAGTAGTATGTGTAGTTGATGAATAAAGTTAAAAACCCTATTATCTACAAAGTACAAATTTGAACATGTCTTTTGCAAACTAATAGTCGGATCCAAGAAATAAGTATACTTTTGTGCGAAACTTCTTGGTTAAATTTTCTTGCACTCTGGTGTTGGTGTTCACATCACACTGAAACTTGGAATCAGTAGTATTTACAAGTTAAAACACCGTAACACATGAACCACTTATTTATTTATCAAGATTCGAATTCACGAAAATCAAATCACAAAATACCACCAACGAAGAAATACCAGATTGTTATAATCAAAATAAAAACGGAATTTATTTTGTAAACTGTACAACATTTTATTTTTTTTTTGATTACCGAAATCAGTCATTTAGTGTAGAGATATTCATGATCACATTTTATTATTTGTCAGTAATAGGATCGAAATGCTTTTTTACTGCTTCGTGGAATAGAAAGACTGGAAATACGTAAACGACAGAACGATGAACTACAAAAAAATGATAGAGAAAGTTTATAAATAGTATTCTTTTCAGTAAATAATGAAGACAATGAAGTGACGAAAATCAAAATGCACCGTATTTTGCGTAAACATCGACTGGTTACCGAAGCTTTGATAAGGATCTGTTGATAGAAATTTTAAATGGTTCAACTAACAGATGAGCGCTTACTTTAGTTAACATTTAGTCTAACCTCAACCAATTGGCGCGCGAGACTGAAGGCTCTGGGTTCGAATCCCGCGGGAGGGATCGTGGATGCACACTGCTGAGGAGTCCCACAATAACATGAAGCGGCCGCCTAATGGTTCCAGGTTTTCAATGGTGGTCTAACACCAATCGGTTTATAATCTGAATCAAAAGTTTAATAATCTCCGCAACCCTATACTGACAATAACATTTTTAATGGTTTGAAATAGGCTCGATTTATTCTCTGTTCCTTCGCTTTATATGACCAATCAAAGACGTCGTTTTCCAGACGTTTAACCAAGAATCTACGTTCAAAATATACTGTGATTGATTGAATTTAGTAACAAATTGTTATTCTTATTCCTCTAATCATGTTACCTCATATGCATATTTAAACCAGATAATCTATTTAGAGAAATGTTTGTGGTTGTTGGATTCCCAACAAAAAACCAGTTTGTTGGACCAGTTCAAATAATCAAAAATGTAAATATATTTTCAATGACAATGTAATGGTATATGAAATAAAACAACTATATATATCAGGAGTTTTGTGGAAATTTTAGTAATTTCAATTGTTGAGTTCATGAGTCAATTGAAGCTAAGTGCTCACACACAAGATCAGTAGGTCCTGGGTTCGAATCCCGCGGGGCGGGATCGTAGATGAACACTGTTGAGGAGTCCTACAATAGGAGGAAACGGCCGTCCAGTGCTTCCAGGTTTTCCATGGTGGTCTAGCTTTAATTGACTTATGATCTCAACAATTGAAACTATCTCTATGTAAAGTTAACCAATTACACATTCTAGGTTATATATTCTACACCTCATTTAAATGGCTTTGGAATTAATATAGATAGTGTGCATTCTTTTCGTTGTATATTGCCAGCAACTAGATTGTCTCTTATTGAGTTTTTTGTAACTTTGACAACGAAAGGTTTTACACTTTTCAGAAACGCAGCAGGATAGGTTATGCGATATATAGACATAATGATATATTAAAACAAACAAAAATAGATAACTTGTTGAAATATCTAGATGGCAGGAACAGGTAGCCCAGATGCTCAAGCAGGCCGTCCGACGAGTAACAATGATCAGTTTAGAAGTTAGGTGACAATCACACTCCGGACGACCTAAGACATAATACAGATGTAAATGTAAACCAATGGATGCTGATTCAGTAGTCTAGGAACGAAGCGTACGCCGCGAAACCTGGAGATCTCGGACTCAGATTTAGCCGTGGTCATGGTTGCCAACCACTGGAGTCGACTGAGATATAAACTCAAGATTCCTGAACAAAATGATCAAACTCGATACTTAACTATGAAACACGCATTCTATACACAATGTACTAATAAAAAACAAACCAATTTTAATGTGAAGTAGTAAAGAAATATCCATACTAATTACTATTTACCACACTTTGAGAACTTACCTTAATCTCATAAATATTACAGAATAATAAGTCAATAAACCAGATGTTACGATAAATGCAGTGAGTAATTTTTCCCATACAGAAGTCTGAATCTTTGATATGAAAAAAAGAGTACAGAACAAGTACATTATTAAGTAATTAGTATAAAATCCCAATTTAATGAACTGACGAAACGGACATCCAGTGCTTCCAAGTTTTCAATGGTGGTCTAACACTGATCGATTTAAGATCTCAATTAAAAGCCAACAGTCTGAACAACTCTATACTGATAATTATCATATGCTCACTAGTGACCAGCTTCCAGAGATAATTCTCCGAATTCTAAAGAAAAGCCGCGACCAGTGGAGTTTAACCGTGTCGGATGTGAGGCATTTCGCCAACGAAGATAATGTAAGGAGGTTGAGCAATATTGTAGATTGGTTAAAGTGCGACAATAACAGCGTCGAATGACGTCTTAGCGGTCTAGAGTTTGAGTATTCTTGTACCAGACTGAAGGTGCCGGGTTTCGACCTCCCCTGCCAACAACACCCTCACTTTCATCACACTACTCAGGTTTGTGCAGTGTATTTCGACAGTTAGCATATGATCTATCACTACCAGGCATCATATTGATCGATTGATGATCTGAATGATGAAATTAGTCAACAATCTCCACAACCCTACACTGATATTTATTATGATGTGCTGGCTGACCAGTGACTAGCTTGGAGAGGTGGATCTCGGAGCTGTAGTGAGAAGCTGTGACCAGTGAAGGTAATCCATGTGAGGTGTGAGGCAGTTAGCCACGGAAGACAATGTAAGGCGGTCGGGCAATATCGTGGATGAGCACTGCTAAGTGACCCCTTACTAGGACGAAGCGGCGGTCCAGTGCTTCCAGGTTTCTAATGGCGGTCTAACGTTGATCATTTCATCATCTCAATTAAAAGTTTCACATATCTGGGCAGCATATTCGATAAACAAGGAGGATCTTGTGCAGATGAAAAGGCAAGGATTGGCAAAGCGAAGACAGCATTCCTACAACTGAAGAACATATGGAACTCAAAACAACCGTCAACTAATATCAAAGTGAGAATCTCCAGTACGAACATCAAGACAGTTCTACTGTACGGAGTTGAAACTCAGAGAACTACCGCAACCATCATCAAAAAGGTACAAGTATTTCTAAACAATTGTCTACGCAAGATCCTTAATATCCGCCGCCGAATTGCCTGGTATGAACGAGGCTGCGGAGTTCGCTCTCCCTCTGGAAATGCTCCCACATGGCCACGCGTATACAGCCACTGCCACGGAAATCCTACTTACTGCCTTTTCGAGGCATTACTGTTGTTCATGAAACTGAGAGGACGGAATGCGAATGTCCGGCGCTTTAACCGGGTTGGTGGACACGAAGGGTTCACCTAGGGGAGTGGGGAAACCCTGATTCCAAACTAATGATGTATATGGGTTCCAGGATTCTGAGGGAACAAAAGGCGCATAAACCTATTGTTAGTCACCGGTTACCATAGGACTGTATCTCCTTACGTTGCTCCACTGCCTTGTGGATCAGACGCATATGTATTTGGTGCCTTCTTGTATTTTATTGGCCCGGGATCTGACTCCAATTAGATGATATGTTGATCGCTATTGAATGATTGCTATCGAAATATATATGTCGCCTATTCTCGTATATAATTATCGACTTAACTCGCTTTAGTGAATAACGGAATTAAAATAAGTTAAATACGAGAAAGAATTTCGAATACGTATATTTTGTACAATCATTGATCTGGGCAGACAATGAGCGGGAAGAAGCGAGTAGAGGAGAGCGAAACGAAATGATGCGCAGTGGAAAAGGCATGTGAACCAACACCATTTAGCCAAGCGTTAATCAATATTTATAGTCAGATGATGATGAACAGAATAAGAAGTGTACACACATATGCGCTCATATAAAAACAGTCACGGTTGATAAGTGAATAATTAACAAGGTCAAAACATGACAGAAGAAGAATGGATAAATTGGCCTGTCCAGAAGCTAGAATAAGTTATATGGGCTTAACTAGTAAACGACACTATAGTACCAATGTTTATGTCTTTAAATAAATAAATAATATCCGTTGTCCAGATATCACCAGCTTAACCTACTATGGAAGAGAACAAACCAACTACCAACTAAAGAGGAAATTAAGAAAAACGCTGGAGGTGGATATGACATACATTACGGATAACAGGAAAGGATTTCCCAGGACAGAGGTCGATGGAGAATGCTAGGGAGCAGACTTTGCTCCTCCACAAGGGGGTAATATATATATGGGAACCATTAATAGTAAAAGTCGAAATTAATTGTCTATAAAGAAACAAAAATATCAACAATAACCAATTAGATATAGAACAGACGGAATATGGCTTACAGCGGAATTCAGGACGAGCATTTAATCCTACTTGAGACTTGATCTTAATTGAATGTACCTGGATCCCATAGTTGATGTCCATTCCGGGATTCAAATGCAATGGCGTTTGAAACGAAAGGTACTATATTGACATCAACCCTAGAATGCATGTACATTCAGCTAGAAATGATTTCCAAACAGGGCAAAACGTGCGTCTAGCCACACTTCATCTATCTTTTATCAAATTACGTCATAATGGTTGTATCGAGGAAATCCGCACAAGATGCCCATATCCCAACTAAGAATAACAAAATATCAGTCAAAAATATCAACAATAGGATCATTTAAACCATTTCAAATTGAATTAACAACCAATTAACATCTATCACAATTAAAACTTACATGTGAATCTGGTAAAATCCAATATCGATCACAAGATAACTGATCACATAATGTAGTTTGAAGTAGTTCTACAATCGTTCATTATTATCATTATTAGATAACCATGCAATTATAATCATTTTCCATGATATACGGGTATTAGAGGTATGATGATAAAAAATAATGAGAAAAGTATTCATCAAATCAAATAACACAATATGTGAATTGATCTAAGTTGTCATAATATATTATAACAGTAAGATAATATTAAGAGTGTCAGTGATAGTAAAAGTTACTGACAAAGATGATTGATACAGTGGGTCAATTAGAACTCACTAAATGAAGTCATATTGTGCCAATCAAAAATTTAAATGCGTGTGTAATTGACTGAGAAGCAGTTTCATACTCTAAGGGGTATATACATATATATAATATGCATGTGATTTGATTTAGCCCAATAAACGTTTTCGTTCTGATAAATCTTCTAGTTGAACGCTTGAATCGATTCGCTAAGCTCTTCTAGCAACCTCTAAACTAAATCTACAACGGCAACTTGAACACGTGAGAAAAAGTGTGAAATATGTTAAGAGCGATTTACTCAGAGGTTATTTTATGTACAGGAAATCCAGGGTATTCATAACATTTCAGATGACCTTGGGCTTCTGGGAAGTTCCAGAACGCTTCTAAACATAGTGGTGGGGAATGCGACACGTGACTTTTCACTTTCTAGATGTTTCTTACAAACGTCTATTGAATGCTGATTGGATAGGATGTTTTCAAGCGTTTTCAGGGCCGCCTTGGGGATTTTTTCGAGAAATTTTCCGTGTCTCCCCAACACTTCCACTACCAGTTTCCTCACTCAGTATCTGGTTAGCGGTTCGCACATAGTAAGTTTATGTACCAATATCAGCATGAGAAAAAGGAGTACAATAACGAACAGAAATTAGTTCATGATAGTGAAATAATAATAATGCGAGAGGTAGTGCAGTTAGCAAAAATACAACCAGAAAGGATTTTCCCAGTTAAATTTACGTCCACCTCTCCGCTTTCTCCAACCAGTCCCATAGTCGGCAAATAATACACGACGTGGAATTTTCTAGAATGACATTCGTAAGAAATATCCAACCACTGAAGACGATGTTTCAAGATAGTAACACTAAGTGCATTATTGTTGCTGTACCCAAACTCTGCATTACTAACATGGTGTTGCCAATGAATGTCAGCAATCCTTCGGAGACAGCGATGATCGGACACAGAGAGTCTTCTAACATCCTCAACTCGGAGAGGCCAGGTTTCACAAGCAGAGAGCAGAACTGCTCTCACCGACACGTTGTAGATCCGACCTTTTACAGCCAGACTAACATCACGAAGACGCCAAAGGTGGCCCAGATTGGCATAAGCCGCTCTGGCTTTCACTATTCGTGCATTGATCTCATCACTCACATCTCCACCAGCACTTATACAGCTACCCAGATACACGAACTTCTCGACTACGTCTATTTGCTCACCATCCAGGGTGAGTACAGGATTGGAATCCTGCCAGTCTTGTAGGAGTACTTTGCACTTCGAAGGTGCAAAGCACATACCATACTTACGGACACTGATTGCCAACTGATTAAGTGCGGATTGCATGCCTTGGGCATTATCGCACAGTAAGACAATATCGTCCACATACTGAAGGTCGATAAGTTTTTCTCCAGGCAACAGATCCACACCACCATTACTTACATTCATCAGAGCTGTTTCCAGAATGTCATCGATGGCAAAGTTGAAGAGGAATGGTGAGATTGGGCAACCCTGCCTAACCCCACTGCTCGAATGGAACAATGGAGAGAGGTGGTTGTATGCCCTCACTCTGCCTGAGGTGTTTGTATATAGGGCTTTTAGGATGTTAATAAACTTCTCAGGCACACCCTTCTTCAATAGACAATCCCAGAGAACAGTCCTATACAAAGAATCGAAGGCAGCCCGAATGTCGAGAAACAATATGATTGTTGACCTGTGATAAGTATGATGGTGTTCTAACATCTGGCGGAGGGTGAAAATATGATCAATACATCCTCGACCAGAACGAAACCCAGCCTGCTCCTCGCGAGTCAATCTTTCTCGGGTTTTGAACAACCTACGAAGTATGACGGAAGCCAATAGCTTGGACGCAATCTGAAGTAGACTTATCCCCCGATAGTTGTTACAGGAACGACGTGAACCCTTTTTGAAGATAGGGACAACTATCGACTCATTCCATGACGTTGGCACACTCTCTAGTTCCCAAACCTTTGTAAACAACTTAGACAGTTCCTTAACAAGAAAGTCACTATCATCTTTAAAAAGGGTCGGAAATGAGTGATTTGTAGCACTTCAAGAGTTTGAGTTCCTTGCGGACTTCCGCCTTATTAGGCAGATCAGTCGTTACGGGTCATGAAGGATGATGCAGTTAAACAATAAACCAATCACCCATTAATGGGATAATTTGTGAGTCATGCGTATAACCTATACAGTTAAAGAGTGATCTAGTATAATCAGGCTATCACGAAAAATTCCTCACTATATACAATTCAAGAGAAAAACTGGTGATATCAAGAAGCTAATGTGCTTTGGCGATCTAATAATGAATTGCATTTTGTATCAATATACTTCAGATAAAATTTAGTAATCTGGTGATATTTTTTTTCTTTTATTCCTAAATGTTTTATTTGCCGAGTTGTACCAAACCCACAAAAAAATCTTGAGTAAAAATGGACCTCCCCGTCTTCTCCTATGCACATACATGAACATGGATTAACAATATGATGATATGATACGCGATCATTGATATGAATACATGTAAAAAAACACAGGAATCCGATTGGAGAAATATTGGAATTGTGGATGAGGGAAACTGTAACAATGCCAGTGAATCTCTCGAGATATGGCATTCAAATCATAGATTTAATCTATCAATCAATATAAAAGAGATCAACTGCTAGTCAGAAGGTGGTGAAACTTATGAAGACAGCCAATCACAAAAAAGCCATTGTAACAAACTGATATAACACTTTTGGAATAACTGAAAGATTTGATTCTACATGATGTAGGCACTGATGTTGTCCGGAACAATAATAAGAGTTTCAAAATTGAACCATTTAAATCATAGAATACAATATTATTAAAAGCATCCTTCTGAAAATGTAAATCTCTTTCATTTTGCGGAGAACTACTACAACCATCATCAAGAAGATACAAGTATTTATAAATAGCTGTCTACGCAAGATACTCAACATTCATTGGCCGGATACCATCAGCAACAGCCTTCTGTGGGAGACAACAAACCAGTTTCCAGTTGAAGAAGAAAATAGGAAAAGATGATGGAAATGGATAGGACATACATTGAGCAAATCACCAAACTGCATCACTAGACAAGCGCTAACTTGGAATCCTGAAGGGAAGCGGAAAAGTGGAAGGCAAAAGAACACATCACGTCGGGAAATAGAATCAGATATGAAAAGGATGAATAACAACTGGAAAGAGTTAGAAAAGAATTGCCCAGGAAAGCGTTGGGTGGAGAGTGCTGGTGAGAGGCCTATGCTCCTTTACGAGGAGTAACAGGCTTAAGTAAGTTTACTGAAAGTTGGACATCCTTTGAAAAACATGAAACACTGGACAGCTATTTCATCCTAATATAGGAACACTTTAAAAATCCAGTGATCATGACTTCTCACTAAATTCAGAAACTTACCTAATAGTACTCAATCTATGATCTAACTTGGATCACCCAACAATATCGATAGCATTGTGTGATTTACTTTTAACATCAATAAATTTACAAAACTAGATGAATAGAAATAATAGTGTTTGTTTAAAGAAAAGAAAATTGAATTTATAACTTACGACGTATTTGTGTACTGCTACTGTCATTTCCAGATGGTGTACATTTATTCAAGATATCCTAGTTTATAAAAAAAAATAGAAAATATGAATAAAAGAACAGAAAATATTGATAACAAGACTGTTTAGTGATTCAATGGTGTATGCTGCTTATATCGACATAATTAGTATATGACGTTAGTCGTGAACAGAATGTCTGACAGCAGAGAGACAAGAGGATCGAACAGTAAAAAATGGAAACAGAATGCAATTTGTATGAAAATGCAAGAACAATCAAGTCTGAGTCATTTTGAGACAATCGATGGACGTTTTGCAAATTACGTATTGACTATTTGATTGTTAGATTTTATTAACAAGTTCTGTAATTTTGTGTAAAATACATTCAATTGTTCCCCATTGGTGTTCTGTTCACTACAATTCCATCTAAAGAAAACTCGAATTTACCGACGATAAAAATAGGAAACTCAACACAAAAGGTTCACTGTTGTTAATAAAAGCATTCCCCATAAAAATTTGGTATTCTGAGACAATTTCTGCTGAAACCCACTAAGACACTTTTTCAATATCTATCTAATATTTCATATCATAAGCTTAATAATTACACGTTTCATAACACACATTTTTGGATGAATTTTAGAAGATAATACATTGCCTTTACCCATCATGACTTATTTACCAGTTTACTTGCTACTATGAAGAAGTGTGTATTGACCAGGTAAGTTTTGTGTTCTTTCACCTCAAAAATGATATCTTTTAACAGTCATAATATAAACTATCATATCTGCGTCATCTTAACAGTGCTGTAACACCGATTATTCATATATTTAGGTACAATGCTTCCTGCGAATAAAGTGTCTGCGATTCAATGTACGTTTTCAATAGAAAGATATTGTTACTTATTTTTTTGCTTTAGTAATATAACCCATATCTGATTAAATAACTTTATGAAGCTCTCTTACTCCAAATCATGTATGTTACTTACTTACGCCTGTTACTCCTCATCAGTCAGTAACAACGTAGAACTTCGTACGTACGCACATAAGCTCAAGTTGCCATAACCACATTAGCACAGAGAAACAACTGTCGATTCAAATCCCATAGTAGTAGGGGTAGTAAATGTATAAGCAGTAATCGGAAGGATGAGGGTTTGAAGATGTTATCCAAGGAGTATGATCCAGTAAAATAAATTTGCAAAGAGAAAAATAAGGAACATGAAGGTTTCAGGAGATTAGGACTTGGGAGTACACAAAGATTGGATGCACATGCGCCATTGCAAACGATTCTGAACCATGTCATTCAAGGTCTCTAACCATCGGTTCCTATCGTCTTGCGGATCCCAATCAGGCAGTCTACACCTACCAACATGAATCAGTCCACTTGCCAGTGACTTCATGGACTTGTGCCATGTTTTGTTCTGGTCGCCCCTAGCTTTCTTCCAACCTACTCCTACACCATAAAACATCGCACGTCGGGGCATTCGGTGGTTGGACATACGTAACACGTGTCCCAGCCATCTCAACTGGTGAAGCTTTACTACTTCGTCAATTTATTTTCTACCCTCACCTAGTACCCGTTTCCAAACAACTGTATTACTTACTCGGTGGTCCCGGGATATACGAGCAATGGTTCAAATACACCTATGATCGAATACTAGTAACCTACGAATATCCTCTACTCTTACCAGCCATGTTTCACTGCCATAAAGTAGGGCGGAACGAACTGCTGCGCAGTAAACCTATCCTTTGGTTGGTAGACGGATATCTCGCCTACGCCCCTCATGGAGGAGCATAGGCTGCACACCAGCACTCTCTATCCAACTCTGTCCTGGGCAGTCCTTTCCAGTTACGATTCATTATTTTCATGTCTGCTTCCAAGTCCCGCCGTAGTGTGTTCTTCGGCATCCCTCTTTTCCCTCTTCCTTCGGGATTCCAAGTTAGCGTTCACCTCGTGATGCAGTTTAGTGATTTCCTCAATGTATGTCCTATCAACTTTCAACGTCTTTTCCTATTTTCCTCTTCAGCTGGAAGCTGGTTTGTCCTCTCTCATAGTAGGGTGTTTTTGATGATTTCGGGCCAACGGACAATTGTATAGAAATACTTGTACCTTTTTGATGATGGTTGCAGTAGTTCTCTAAGTTTCAACTCCGTACAGTAAAACTGTCTTGATGTTCGTACTGAAGATTCTCACTTTGATATTAGTTGACGGTTGTTTTGAGTTCCATATGTTCTTCAACTGTGGGAATGCTAGCCATGATTTGCCAATTCTTGCGTTTACGTTTCGATCCGATCATCCTTGTTCATCGATGATGCGTCCCAGGTACTTGAAAGATTCTACATCTTCTAAAGCTTCTGCATCAAGTATGATTGGGTTGGTGTTCTCCGTTTTCTCCCAAATTCTAATCTTCTGAATTCTTCATGTCTCGCTTTTTTCTTTTTCCAAATTTATTTCACTGGATTATACTCCTTGAATAACATCTTTAAACCCTAATGTTTTAGATTACTGTTTACACTATCACTACCTCTACCACTACGGGATTTGAATCGATAGTTGTATCTCTGTGCTAATGTGGTATGGCAATTCGAACTGGTGTACGTACGTATGAAGTTCTACGATGTTACTGACTGATTGGTGTTCTCCGTGTTGTATTTGGGGATCTGGCTTTTTCCCTTGTGCATGTTGAGGCTTACTGATGAAGTGGCTGTTGCTACATTGGTTGTATTGACCTGCATTTGTTCGTGCGTATGGGAAATTTCCCGAGATAAACCAATAGCATATTTCACTTTTGAATATCAATAAACCCGACTTAGTCACTTAGTTACATACCAATCCAATAAATCAAGATCCCCATGCTCCCATACTATCATTCTAACCAATTTTCCAAGGTTAACATGTTTAAATGTAATGATGTTATCAAAAAAAGTAAAACCTAACAATTACGTGCATTGACTCAGTTTGTCACATTGTATCAGCAAGGCGAGATAGGAACAGTGATAATATTAGAGGTAGAAAGGGAAGTTCAGGTATAGACAATATAATTCCAGAAGAACGAATTCGCGGAATAAAAAGTATAAGATAATTCTAAAGCTCAAGATTCAAAGGAAGACAAAGAGTGAATGTCTCCGTACCATTGTGGCTGATTCTGAACTACGTCAGTTAACGTCTTCAACCATTGATTGGGACGGTCGCGCAAACGGTGGTTGAGGATACGTAATACACATCAAAAGGGGTTAGATTGAAACGAATTCACTACGTCATCAACCGATTTGGCATCTTTAACAAGTATTCTGTGTCCAACATTCAACATTGCTTACTCGGTGGCGCCAACGTACGCTAGTAATACTTAGATAATTTTATGACTAAGTAAGAGTAGGCCATACATATCCCTTATTTTAAAGGTTACATTTGAGTATAACAGAACCAACTGTTCTGAAGTAAACTGGTCCTTCAGTTGAAAGATAGACATCTCCCATACGCCACAAATAATCCTAAGTTGGAATGAATGAAATATGTATAGTGACATATTTTATATTCATCAGCAGCGGTATTTTGTTTTCTGGGAGGTAAAACCTGGTAATGAGGTACTGTTTGTTGCCAGGTAGAGTAACTAACTTTGTAGAAACACCAACACCACATAATTAGTGAAGGCCAACTGCTTGTAAATATCTCAATTTCAGTCGGTGACTAATCAAGTATGCATCAGTTTCTTAAAACGTTACCGTGTTCCGCCTTAAATACTACTACTCCATTAAATGTAATACACAAGTGGAGGGAAAGTGGTTCAACTGTGCAAGCTTTCAAATCTACACCACTCGACAAAAGGTTTGACGGAGGCCACTCTATCTCGGTCTAAACAGATGGGTAGTGGTAGTATTAGCATCCAAGCAAGTCCCGCTCAAAGTATAATGTACATGAGTTCCTAATTAGATACTTGTGTAAAAAAAATACCTACCTCACATTGTTTTGAAATAGCTTCAAACGACTTGGGATCACATAATGCTTCATCCCAAAACACTTGATAACCATAATCAATATCTGGTTTTAGTACAGAACAACGAAGTAACGAACAATAGGACGATAAACAAATTGTACGACTGGTACTATAAGCATTTGTTTCATGTCTATTGCCAATATGTAAATCAAATGTATTTTCTGTGTAGAATCGTTTACCACACATTTGACATTCCCAATCATAATCAGAAATTTTATTTTTCATTTGTTCATGAATAGCATAAATATCATGTTTGGGATGAAAAGGGCATAGTTCGTTCATAACAACACCTGTATATTTAAATAGTGGGAAAACAATCTTTTCTGTAATTAAATGAATATTTCAATACTCAATGACTTACCTCATTTAAGATGGAACGTGCTAAACGACTCTGAGAAATGCTGCATTTGTCTAATATATTACTGTGTATTGTCGAAATCGAAATGATGATTAAACAACACGCAGATAATATCCGTGTTTTGGATAATGTACGACCAATAAAAATATCCATTGTAACGAAATTTAGAAATATCTGTCCTCAAGCATAGCACTGAGAATTGTAGCTAGAGGAAACAGATTGAATAAGTAAAACAAAAATTAGTTGTGTACATAATCAAAGGATCAACTCCAAAACCCTTGAAGAATCAAATATTGAACAACTAGAAGGCAGTCAGTCAGTCAGCTACAACGTAGGACCAGGCACATATATGCATCGGTCCAGGTTGCCATACCTCATTAGCACAGCAAGATGAACACCGGATTCATAGGAGTGGTTAGGTCAAAGGTGGTAATATATAGGAGAAAGATTGCATATAAGTATACAGTACAGGAAGAAAGAATTAATTTGTAGAAAGATATGAGATGATTTTAAGGGAAGACTGGGAGTGTATGCACCGACGCCATTGTGATCGATTCTGAGCCATGTCACCAAGAGTCTCCAACCATCAGTTACGAAAGTCACGCGGACCCCAATCAAGTAGTCTGCATCTACGAACATGGCTCAGTCATTGTAGATAACAGTAAACTTCGAAGCTTGATTATTCTCCCAGACCACTTCTGTAACGTGAAACCACTTTCGGTGACTGATGTTGCTAAATAGTTATAATGTTGACAAAAACGGTAAGGGGTCATCTCCGATGATAGTTTAAAATCAGTTTTTGTTGAAAACAAAGACGATGATCGTTTGATGGCAGACAGTAAGGCTTCAATTCCTCGAGATTTATCACTAGCAAAATCCGTTGACTTTACTCCCATTCTCATCAAATGTAAAATTTAGTGTGGTGGATCTGTTAATAGCTCTTAACTCTGCGTACATTCGAGTGACTAAAATACTTAAATTTTTGTACCATTTACTTACATCCGCTATACTAGATAATAAAATTTTGGTCAGATTATATTACGACAATGTTTTTTTGAACCGATTCCTTATTTTCATAAATTCTAGTCAGCTTGACTGACTTTAATACCCACCTGGTAAAATAATAAACCCGTTAATATGCTACAGAGAAGTCTATTAAGTATGAGTTCCATCCAATATTTTTAATGTCGCTCATGTACACGGAAAATAACCCTGGGGAACAGCTACTTGAGAACTGAAGTTGACAAAATGAACTTTTGAGTACTTGGTAATTTTGTACACAACTCAAACACTCGTGTACACTATAGGTATAATTACAATTCCTTAATATTTGTCTATAATCTAATTTTTGCTTGACCTTTTTTTCAGACAAACCCCGAAGGCTTAAACGAAGCTCCCTTCAACAGACTAAAACTAAGTCATATCTATTGATCAGACCTTCATGCCGAAGGCTCCGGGTGTGGCCCCCTAAGAAAACCACCTGCTTCGGTTTGGGCACCCGGGCAGTACCACAGCCCTCACACATATCAAATGAGATTAGTGTGGCGTATATGTGTTTGGTGCCTTCTTGTACCAATATCTATGTTTTAAAATAAATAAATAAAATAAATCCCTTTATTTATTATACTTCCAGATAATGGATCCGTGGTAGTATTAGCATTTTTGCTGAAGAAGTGACTGTAACTGTCGCAGTGATTCGAAACTTAACTATCAGGAATCAAATGATCGTGGTGGCCAAGCTACCAATCTCCTTGTAAGAAATGAATATATTTGACTAGCAAGTGACTAATAATTCACATACGAAACTACTGCGAGGTACTTGTACGTAATCTAAGTATTCAGAGGAACTTAAGAGCATAAGGTCGTGGTATGTCGTTAGTCGCAAAAATACCAAGCAGCTGCTCGCGATATGCTTACACAAGATGTCCTGCTAAATACTAGTTCAAGGGTCTGTACCTCTATTTCCTAATATTTACGACCTCTAGTACACGGGAAAATTCATTATTGGTTGCTTAGTTAGGCAATAAATTCTAAGATTTATAGACATGGCTATCGTAGCCGTATACCACAGTATATACCACAGAAAGTGAGATTGTGGCACAATCAGAAAGCGTACGCTACCACAAAACGTATTTGCAGGACAACACGGGATAACATACGTCCGTAATGAGGAACTCGATTAGTTGGCTGGAATTGCTGTTTGACTAAATGTCCCGATGAGGTGTATCCTAAGCTCCCAACTTTGGGGAAATTTGGGGTTTTTGTGCCTTTTCCCCAAAATTGGGAGCTCGGGTATGTATCTTCCCAGATCATTTAGCTTTTAACTAACTGCAAATGCCTAATTTGAAGTATTGATTCAACAAACTAGTCAGTCAATAATCCCAAATGACATGTCGTCCCTTTCATATCGTCTTACGTTCATACATACCGCTAATTCAGAAATACAAATCTGTTTCCTGGTTTTACGCACATTTGTGATCTCAAGGTCGAATGTTATGGATGAACTTTGGGACTTACGGCACAATGAACTAAAACGTTTCTGACAAAAAAGGTACCTTAACAAGTTAATCTTTTTTTGTCATGTGAGTATATTTTACTGTCTGGTTCTATCTTTTTCTTGAAACCATTAAGCAATGTGCTTTACACTTGTTTACGTATTATAATTATAACCTCGAAGAAAAATGTACGCACTTATCGTGAGTCAACTTTGCTTGTGTGTATCTATTCCATTCAAGCCGTATTTGGTCTACTTGACCATAATTATTGAGATTAAGGTCTGAAATTTACGTCAAATCCGTTTTGTGGTACTCTTTTATTCATTCACTTCACACACTGATGAATAATGCATGTATGGTTTGACTTTTCTCTATTTCATATCTATGTACAGTGACCAGTCGTACTTATAAGTGTGGATACCTGAATCGTTTCCACCCTTTAGAGGACGAAAAGCTATTAATGTAAGAAGCGATTCAATTCTTACCACATTCAAAAGATGCTGGGAGCTCAACTTCAAAAGACTTTATATATTTTGTTGTTCGAGTGAGATACCACTAATCAAGGGAGCGATGAGCTTTCCGTGGGTTTCCCACAATAAAGTAAACGGTGACTGCATTGGTAACATCAGTACGGTGGGAGAAGTATGTATCAGTGTAGTACGAGCTATTACGGAACAAATATGCGACTGTGAAATATGAAAAATAGAAATCTCCCTTAAAACAAACAAAAAGCTAAATACCACCGGATGTTAATTGTTCAGATTCCAAAGTAAATCCTGAAGACCTAGATAAAACCGTCATTGTTCCAAGTAGTCCGGATGTGGTTGCCCTGAGTAACGGGAAATGGGCAACAGTTCAGAAACAAAGAGAAAGAAAAGAAGCTACAAACAACATCTTTTGTTAACTGCTGCTCGAAGTCACGATAGCACCGACATTCTAGTATGACGTTATGTCTCCAGGAGACAAATTAAGAAAGAAAACTGCATTAGCTGAGGCAGAAATGCGTTGACAAAACGGTGAGGAACATCTCGGAATATGAGAAACTGTGAAGATGTGACTGGGACTGTTTACTATAAGAACTTCTCTATGATTGTATTTTAACTTAACTGTATATACAACTTGCAAACATCCTAACGATCAACTGTTTGTGAAAATTAGAAACAACTAAGTGAGTGTTTTGTAAGTACCCGTTTTGATACGAAAACTTGAATTCCCGCATCAGTTTATAAGTTTCGCTGAAACGTCAACCAGTATATATAAGTTCCTTCACTATCACAACATATTCGGATGAATACTAGCAAGATTTATGGTGCAGAATGAAGCGAACTTCCACCAAGTCCTCACGGGGTTTGAGACGCTACGAATACTTCGTTTGTTGTGTAACTATGCAAAAAAGTCGAATTAGTAGGGATATTTGTTATATTTATATTTAAATAACTCATCAGACAAATAGTCGCTGAAATGGTCAATAATTAACATAGTTATTGTCAACATGTTAATTGTTTGTTAATAAAATCTTCCGTGTACAGGAATCAGTTAAGTTGTTTACTGGTAAATACTTGAATATTATAAAGGTTTAAGCCTTCCAATTAGTCGACAAAAGCCATAAGTTGCGTACCAGAGAACGTATGAATAGCTTCTAAGCCTAATCAATGCAGTTCTGAAAAATAAGAAATCAATCACAAAACAAACGGTATGGCTTCGTTATAAGTATCAAATTCAATATGTACATAGAATAACGGAAAGAAAAGGCGATTAGCGCCAAGTATTAGTGATATAACTTTTCTTCCTCATATAAGGTACATATTAGTATGTCAGTTCCCCAAGCAGTCAATAAATGCAAACAAGGGGGAAATAAAGAGGATATTACGTTAAAAATAATGAAAAAACACGTCAAAATGTTAGGGTTTCGCCTGTCATGGAAAAGTAATGTGTAGTTTCCTCTTTTTGCCACTCTATATTTCAAATTTCACTGTAAGGTCGCTTTATTGTCTGACTAAACACAGAATTGTCTACTTTCTTACTAAATACTCACTTAATTTCTTGATGCCTGCTTGGTTTTACACCTTAGTGTCCACTTTTTGCTTAACCTCAGATGTCTCCTATGTTTGCTTTTATTTCCATAACAAAGCAGTTGGAGGATACAGTGAACCATGTTAAAAAATGGCACGTATTTATTGAAAAGAAACAAGCATCATACTGTACAAAATATGAATAATATAGATATTCTCAGGAAACGATCGTTATGTATTTTCATCTTTAAGAGCCAAGTCTTATTATAATCTACGAAGGTTTAAAAAAATGCAGGTTAATGGTTATTGAGTTAAAGTTAAGTATGAAAATCATTTCAATAGTAACGGCTTTCTTAAACTGCACTGATACTCCTCCGAACCGAAATAGCCATCCTATGAATTCTGTAATATGATAAACACAGAAAATTACAACGATGTCTAACTGCCATAGTTTCTTAAACAGCTGTCTACATAAAGTTGTAGTAACCTACTTTTATCAAGAGAACTCGTTTGGTGTAAGGGAAACAACTATTATTATAACTAATTGTACCAGAGGTTGTTTTACCGTACTTGCTTGTCTAACTGTACCAAAGTATATACATTCTTCCGTTGATTGTGATGCCATAAAAATACTCTTGCTTGAGAAGTCATAAATTTTAGCAAGTTGTTTCTAGTTGACGGATGAAGACAAGTACCGAAATATTAAGAGATCTAAGGGCTATAAAGAACTTCCTTCTTCGTAGGCACCCGTAAAACCTGCACTTTTGAAGTGACCTTCTAGGAGTACCGTGTAATGTGAATAGGAAGGCAACTTCAAGGGTTATGACGTGTAACAAAATATAGCGCATGAAAGTTTTAAGATTAAAACCCATTAGCCATGTCACCATGACTATTTGCAAAAGGAACAAACAGTCAAATGAATTTCACTCAATCACAACTTTGTCTCTTATATTTTCTTGCTGAAGATATGCAATCAACGTTATCGGTTCATCTTCAGGTGACAAGGGGATCCGAAAACTTAACAGTCAAACATCAAAGGTCCTTGGATTGGTTGTATACTAGCAACTTATATTATGTTCAAGAACACTTCAAAGCAGAACTGCTACAACTTGCATTTATTAAACAACTGCCAGACATCCATATTCATCAACGTTCTCAAGGGTGGTGTATCTCTGACTTGATAGAAAGTAAATTTCACTTGCTTGAGTTTACAAATAAACACATTGATCTGACTTAACATTCACACAGGTGGTAAATAACAACTATGTTAAACTACTAATTTACTGGGATAAAAGCTATATAGCGAGCACAAACGAAAATCGACGGGTAACGACTAAAGTGCTGCTAATACTTGATAAATAACGACATCCGAACTATTCGATAACATGTGACATGTACGCGAGAACCCATAGCTTGACAGTTTTATCTTCTCATGACACTGTTTTCTGATTTATATAAAGTGAATGTAGAGCTAGGCGATTGAACCATCGAACCCTGAGATCACATAAACACCAAAAATAGTTTAATGAGCCGCAGATCTTTTTGATCACTTGTAGGTGTCCTTACGATGTTAAAACATCATTGTGAATCTATAGAAACAACTGCTTGATCTCAATCAAAATAGTAACCTTAGATATAAACTTAAGATGGACCTAAGACATATGTTTTGATTCTTAACAACGTTCTTATGTATAAATTTACTTCATTTTATCATGATCAACGTTTCTTATCTACAACCTTTTAAATAGACACTTACGTTTGTACTCATAATGAGTTACCATAGTCGATTTTACTTTTTAAGGTCGTACTTTGATACAGAATTTCGCCTCTAAAAACATTGGGGAGAAAAGTAGGAATGATAAGGAAGAACTTCAATAAACAAGGAACTCGGAACGGCCGTCTGCTTAGCGAAGTGAACATAGTAGTGATTACTGCATCGCATGCTCTTTACTAGGCAGGGTCAGTAAATCATTCTCTTAAATATGTGGGATAACTGCCGTCATGCCATAAAAGTGTTCATGTAAAACACTGATTCATGTTAAATCATTCATGTTTTTGGATTCTGTACGTATTCTCAGAGCTTAGGGGAAATCCACCAACAAGGCCAAAGAGACCAAAATTCTGGGCTTGATGTACATTGAAGACACTCGCACTAATCACCAGACAAAGCTACATTGGAACAGACCGAAATGTGGTCACAACGTCTTTTGTTTAATTGGGTTATATTGGCATGTTCACTTGAAAATCACAGACCATTCCATACAAATCCATCTCAGATAGTGAGAATGAGCCGAATAGTACCGAATGTGTGAAAGTTCAATTTCATTAAAAATAGCCACCTTAATGATTATGAACCCTCAATCAAACATATGACAGATAAATCCGCTGATGTTTCAGACGTCAGAGACCCAATAATCCGTGAACACTGAGGATCACAGGACAAACCACGATCTGTAAGAGCCTCAAAAACATAAACAAGCATCAACTAATCATTCAGTACAGTGAATCGTTGGGTACCTAGGGTAACATGTGGCTCTGTAGTGAGGTTGGACCATAACCACACAATCCTCAAAGCTGAACACTAGACTACTCGGAAAATAGATGATCAATATTCATCCATGTATATTAGTAGTACACTAAATTCTATCACGGTCAAGTAAAAATGAGGTTGAGAAAATCTCCCCGTAACTAAATAAACCGTATCAAACTAACTGGAACACTAGTTGGAATTCTTCTCCACGTTAATACTTTTGTTCCTTCAGTTAGCCTACTAATGCAAATGCAATTGAAAATCAACTCGTGGACAACTTACTAGCGTGAAAGTTATTTGATTTTATAATTTAAACCAAAACTAATACCAATATTAACATTTCTACAATATTGATTGCTTTTAATATTTCTAAACACAAAATACATACTACCTATGAGTTGAGTTATTAACCGACGGCTATTAACACGCATCGTATTATTATTATTATTATTATTATTATTATTATTATTATTATTATTATTATTATTATTGTAATCCCATTTTTTAAAGCTCAAATAATCTTCACCCAAATTTTCATTTTAAGCGTGTTAAACATGAAGGCAGATATTTTAAAATTATTACATGTATTTCCCGACCAGATGCTGCCGCCTTCTTTTTAACTTATCTTTTAGCTTATCAATACCCGGAGGGTTCTTACTAGTCTTGATAACCTGCGGCGCATAGCAATCCCGTCCAATTTGGTATCGAACCAACATCACGTTGATTCTGGTGGGAGAGTAGTGTAGTGGCATTGAACCATAATCACACAATCCTCAAAGCTGAAAACGAGACAGCTCGGAAAATAGATATTCAATAGTTAACACGGAGAAATACCTAACGATGGAGAAGGCGGGAAGAATGTATTGAATTAATTGGAGTTGATGGAATGGCATGGCTTGGCCATGCAGGCGTGATTCCTGTGGAATGTTACCTTATATCTTTTATTCATATTAAATATATTGTTCTTTCTCTAGCCTAAGCTTGTTCTACATAATGTATTGGTAATTGTTACGATACAGTGAGTTGGTGTGGACGATGATGTGACTTCCACGTAAGATCTTATAGATTAGGCAGTTATATCATGACAAATCTACAATTTTAGGATTAGGTCAATTTATAGAGCAGTACTAACATCATAGTAGACCATAATGCTACAGCTCTTCGAGAGAAGTTCATGAGAATGACACACACCAGTGGTGATAGTAACCATGCTATCAGAGAGTGCGCATAAGCCCTCACTTTGCCCATCTGTCGTCCCCCACGACGATCAAGTACTATTTCGAGAGCCATAGACCTCAGGAACTAGGAGGACCGAAATGAATTTCTGCAGGCCTGGAACAATTCCAGGAATGAACTACACAATATTCTTGACATAAGATCCTGTCAATCACACCGCGTGATGCAGCAAACACTTATTTTGCTGTAACTTAACATAAGAATACTTTGAGGCAAAAATGGAGAGGTCAGGAACACGTGTTTTCAGTTTGAAATGATGGACAAAGTTCTTATCGCGACCTGATTTCTTTCTGAAACGACAGACGACGTAGTAAGCGTGGAATCTATGACACTCTTTAAGCATGACAGAGAACATATGTTGGAGGCAAAGTGGCCATGCAACTCGGTACTTCAAAGCCAGTACATAGACTAATACTGGGAAGACCGGATTACGATTGTGCAGCTGGTTCTGCACTAGCTGGAACAGTACCAAGTATTTGGTCATGGGAATATATCGCCCTTCCACAAACGGTAACAGAACAAAGACCAGATAACTCATACCTCATCAAAATGAGCTCACTTGGTAGTCAGTTTGAAACTCGTGACAAGGAGCCTTAACACTCTCACTGGACTGTGTAGCACCGGCATTTTGAGTGGGCAAACATTTAATAGCCACCACTAAAAGCGACGTAGTATTCGAGAGCAAAGAGGATGCAGAAAAGCTGGGTAAATGGGCGACAATCTAGACTAGCTCGCTACTATCAAATGACTGGCTTACAGTCCGGAATGCAAGTCTTCGAAATATCTGGCGAGGGGTATAATGAACTTGTGCTCTCTATAGTCACTCTGATTAAGAAGTGTTCCGTTTCTGATTGTTTTCATTTTGATTCGCCATTCTTTCCATGACTGAATCAGTGGATAGCTATCAGAGAACACTTGACAAGGAAAGTCTCACACACTGACTACAATCTTTCGCTTCTTGTGGTTATGCCGGATGCGTTTTGTAACTTACTCAGTCATCATTATCAAATATTATTTACCGACTGCTATCCCGTTTATTATATCATATCCGTTTCCAATTTTATTCTTGCAAATCAGTCCCCTCACATTATCTGCATTACTAATCAGTTATGCTTTTTATTCGTTAGGTTCCTGAAATAATCATCCTTTTTTCAATTATCATTTCATTATTTTTCACATTACAAACAACCAGCCCCTTCCTGATCGTAATGGCTGCTGTTAGCCAGAAAACCTACTGCTACAAGACAAAAGCACCCACTCGAATTACAAGATATAATAACTTACAATAGCTGCCACACTGACTAGAATTAATGCAGATGAGTGGCTAGAATCTCACTCATTGGACACGAACTGGGACATGGGGCCGTAATAAAACAATAAGAGCTGAGCCTGAAGAAATCGAATAAACATGTTTTAGAGGGTTATTCTATCTGATTTTGGCTTCGGTTGCAAGATCGTCTTGGTCCACGGCCTGTGTTGTTGCAGTTTTTCGTCCATTTGTTTCCATATTAAATGTAACTGGATTGTGAGCGCCTGCAGGACAGTCAACTCACCTTTTCTTCTAATCTTCTATATTTAACACTTTCTCACTCAATCGATTCTCCATTAATCTTTAGAACAATGAGTACTCTCTGGCTAAACACGAATGCATACAAGCTCTTTGAAAGAATATTGTGTATTAGAAGCTCTGAGATTGTACATTGCAAAAGGCGCGGCTTGCGTAATGTGCGTTACACCGCGTGTTTTCTTCTCGTTCTGTGGTTAATTCAAGGTAAGACAAACGGTAATTGTATATCTTCATATACCTCTTATGATTGGGACTTTATTCGTCACTGATTTTTGCGTTACAGAGAGCTTTAAAAACATAGTGTAGAAAAATCACAATTTTCCATCTGCTAGCAGACTATCAGGAGTATTGAAGCTGTAAGAATGATAAAGATTCCCTTAACTCAGAATGTTTTTTATGTACAGGGTATCTAAGCGAAGTGATTCAGTCGAGACCGTTTTTACGTTAACTGTAGTCGTACAACGCTTTTATGGCGTTCAGTCATTTGGGTTTGATTAAAGAGTTGTGTTCAGTATGTCAGCATATGAATTGGGATTCTCCTACAAAAATACAACTGAAATCGATTCCTTTCGCTCTTGAAGGTAAGTAATGTTCGATAGACTTTCCATCGTTAAAAATTACATTAGTCTAATGCAAGTTTTCGTTTTTATCACATTTCACTGTTTACAGATAATATTCTAAGTGGCTGTTTGTTTAAGTAACGCAACGCTTCGACTTTTGGTTTAGGAATCAGGTTTTTTTATTTGTATAGTTTACCGATTAACTGCAGGGCATACCAAAGTTTTTGAGTATATGGCTTTTCTGAAGATTGCAAATGATTTAGTTGCTAAAGCTTTTCCATTGTAGAAAAGATTCATTTTTCACACCGTGATGCCGTCGAAAATTTCTTATTCATTTACAGCCTTCAAGATTGTTTGCGTGCATACTACCAGATTTCATTTTATCACGTCTACTAGGTTGAAGTCATTGAACTGGATTTGTTTTTTGTTCAGGAATTTTCGGATAAGCTTTCGAGTAAGATGAAGCATTTATTTACAGAATATCAAAGTAAGTTTCAACGATGGATGCCGTTATCTTAGAGTATTGTTCGCGTTGTGGTTAAAGTATTCGTATTTCAACCTTCAGTTTGAACAGCTTGTGGTGGACCAAACAATATATGAACTCAAAAATAATAACAGAGTTATTGAGTACAAACAGTAATGGTAATGTATATCAGCTAAGCGTTATAAACACAATTAGGGACGTTACTTAATTCAGCAGGTTTGCGCGTGTTCAGGTTGTTTGGTACCAGAATACACAATTATAGATGATTGATGGTTCTAGTAAGATTGTTGTCTTTCCAGTGACATAACCAAACGTAGAATATCATATAATTTGGCTGTAGTCTATAAATGTGGACAGTAGGTGATTTAGAGTTCCGTTATCACAATCAAAAACAGTGGAGAACACTAGGTGTGTGTATTGTGGTGTATTTGTTAGTAGATAACAGCGTGTCATGCTACAAGTGTAACACGACGGAAGAAAGTGTGTTCAAGATCATGCACTTAAACAACACGTACAATCGTTTAATGGTAGGTGCACAGGCTGTTAAAAATTATTAAAATAAATACAAATAATATCATAATCTATTTACAAAAATAAGTTTGTCATGCATATCTCCACATAGCTCCCCCCTAGAGTGTCCGGGGGTAACACTGGTTATAACAAAAAAGTGTAAGAATATAGTATATACATGTATGTAAAATAATATTTACGATAATAACCAAAAAACGTGGAGATTGGTGTGACATGCGCATAAGTATTATACAATGTGTTAGTGTACAAGGTAGCATGAATGTAGCATAGCACCACAAAAAGGAATGAAAATACGGTCATTCACTGTCTTGGTTTGTTAATAATAATAATAATAATAATAACGTGCAAAATTGTTAATAAACCCACAAAAAATTGGATTGTTTATTAGTGTGACGAAATTTTTTTTCTTTAAAAAATGTGACAAAACGGGTGATTGTGAAAAAATGTGATTAATTATATACACGTGTAAAAAAAATAGATTTTATTGGGAAATTGAGTAAATTTAACAGTGTAATATATACCAATGATGGTTTGTTTTTATTTATTTATTTTTGTTTTATTCAGCAAAATGTACATAACGCTTGTGTTTCTTTACAGTTCTGCCTGAACGTGCTAAGCAAGTAGGCCTAATGCTCGATTTTTCATCCTCATCTGCTCTCGTAGTGATTAGTGGGAGGGGTTGTTTATCCACAGTGTTATCTTCTTTGTCTTATTTAACTTCGTAGAAGGCTAGCTTTATTATATCTATAGAGATAGTCTCCTTCTTTCCACCCTTGTTGATAATGAAGTGTTTATTTGTTCTTTTAATTAATTGATATGGTCCGTTGTAAGGTTGTTTCAATGGTTTTTTAACAGCGTCGACTCGAACGAAGGCAAGTTTACACGTTTCTAGGCTTTTGTCAAGTTGTATTCGATTATTATGTTCTCGCATCGGTATTGCTTTGATACTTTGAATTGTTTGTAGTAGTCGACCAACAAAACGACTTGGATCAGTTGATACTGATGAGTCTGGATATACTAATTGACCTGGTAGTGTAAGAGTTGTGCCATAAACTGGTTCAGCGGCTGTGCAATCTATATCATTGATGGTTGAACGAATTCACAGGAGTACGAGTGGTAATGCGTCACTCCACTTTGACGTATCAGCCTGTGCCATCAGAGAGCTTTTTAATTGGCGGTGAAACCTTTCGACCAGACCAATAACTACTGGATGATAGGCTGTTGTTTTGAAGTGGTTCACACCCAGAAGTTCTACAAAATCCCGAAATATGATAAATTGGAGCTGGGGACCACGGTCTGTAGTGACGATTGAAGGTACTCTGCAATTTGATATCCACCGCTCAAGAAATACTGATGCGACTATCTTCGCAGACGTATCTGAGATAGGGGATGGTATCGCCCATCTTATGAACCTATCTACCGCTGTAAGAATGTGCGTGAAGAAGTTTGATGGTGGTAGGGGACCGACTATGTCTAAATGAATATGTTGAAAGCGTTTATCAGGCAATGGGAACTTCCCAACAGGACTTATTGTGCGTTTTGAATTTTGCTGCGTTGACATTGTATGCAGCTTCGAGTCCACCTTTTTACCTCCGAGTTGATTTTTGGCTAAACGAAGCGTTCTGTTATAAGTTTTGTGATGGCTCGAATTACAGGACGTGAAAGCTCGTGTAATTGTTGAAATATCTGTCGTTGACAAGCTTTTGGTACAAATGGGCGGTTACTGCCGGTTGAAACGTCTCAAATAATAGTTGCGTTTGAGAAGGGAATAGGTACGGGTTTTAGAATCAAGTTAGACTTTTCTTTGCAGCTTTTCAGGTCTGCGTCGTCCATTTGTAGTTTTGCTATGGTTTCAAGATCAATGTCTTGTTTATTTATCAGCATATTGATATCCTTTCGTGATAATGCATCGGCTACGACGTTACAGTGTCCCTTGACATGCTAGATATCTGTTGCAATTTTATTTTAACACATAGATATTGGTACAAGGAGGCACCAAATACTATGGGTCACACATCTCATTTTATATGTGTGAGGGCTGTGGTACTACTCAGGTGCCCAAACCAAAGCAGGTGGTTTTCTTAGGGGGCCACACATAAAGCCTTCGACCTGAAGATCTGATCAACAAGGCAGTGGAGCAACCTAAGGAGATGCAGTCACATGGTAGCCGGTGACCAACGATTGGTTCATACGCCATTTGTTCCTTCAGGATCCTGGAGCCCATGTTCACGATTAGTTTGGAACCAGGGTTTTCCAACTAACCTAGGTGGACCCTTCGTGTCCACCAACCCGAATAAATCGCTGAACATTAGCTTCTCATCCTCTTAACTTCGTAAACAACAGTAATGCCACGAGAAGGCAATGAGTAGGACTTCCCTGGCAGATGCTATATACGCGTTGCCATGTGAGAGGATTTCGAGAGGGAGGACGGACTGTCCCCACTCTCGACCGTACCAGGGCATTTGGGGGTATCTATTGTAAACTGAGAGATGTAATCCAGTTATCATGCTTCCCGTGGCGAATGTCGGTCGTAAGACGTGTTAGATGAATGACATAGACGTTTATGATCAGTCATGATAGTGAATGCACGTCTTTCTAACAAAAAGTTATTGTTTGACTGCTAAATAAATAGCGAGTAACTCCTGTCCGAAGGTACTATAACGTTCTTGGGTTGGTGACAGTCGTTTGGAAAAAAAACGCTATGGGAGTAACGATGTTGTTTACTCGCTGTTATAATACTGCCCCAACGGCTTTTTAAACGCGCCCGTGCATCAAATCAGGTGGGTTGTTGGGTCAGTATTTAGATGCTGTAACATAGTGGCATTGGCAATCATAGACGTTGCTTTCTCGAATGCCGTTTTGGCATCAAAAGGTAGCGCGAATATGTCGTCCTTTTTTTTCTTCGTTACTTTTTTATCTATTTTTAGCAAATCTGTTAAAGGTTGTAATACGTCTGTGCAATTTGGTAGGAATCGTCGATAAAAGTTACACGTTCCAAGGAAACGGCGTACTGGAGTTGGTTCGGGATAGTTGATGATAGCTTCAACTTTCTCCTGAAGTGGTTTAATGCCTTGAGAGTCGGTGTAGTGTCCTAGAAACTCTAAATCTGAGACGCCGAATATACACTTAGGAGGATTAAATATAACACCATGCTTTTTAAAACGGTCGAAAAGGACCTGTAAATGCTGAACAAGCTCTTCGATTGATGAGCTAGCAATCAAAACGTCGCCGATATAGGTAAATCCAAAGTCTAAACCTCTGGTGACCTCGTCCATAAATCGTCGAAACGTGTGAGCGGCATTTTTCAGTCCGAATGGCATTCTTAAGAACTCAAACAAACCAAAAGGTGTAATGATGGCTGTTTTTTCGATATATTTTGGTGCCATCGGAATTTGGTGGTATGCTCGTACGAGATCAAGTTTCGAAAAGAAACGCTTTCCATGTAGGTTTAGTAGGAAATAGTGTAGGTGTGGAATAGGGTATCTATCTGGAACGGTTTGGTTATTTAGACGTCGGTAGTCTCCAGATGGGCGCCAGTCTTGATTTTTTTTGGGAACCATGTGCAATGGCGAAGCCCATAGGCTGTTAGATTGTCTGATGATTCCAAGTTGCATCATATTCTCAAATTCTCTTTTAGCAGTCTGTAACTTGTGTGGAGGTGATCTCGCCTTGGCACAAATGGGTGGGACGATAGTGGTAATGTGGTGTCGCAAATGATGTACGGTGCATTCCTTTTGGTAATCTACTTTAGTGATGCATTCGTATTTCGTCAGGATATCGGTAAAAAGATTGTTCACAGGTTTTATTATCCGTACACCATGAATTTCATAGTCGGTAGTAAGTGTACCATTCACCTGCAAACGTGTATTCTTGTCAATCAACTTTCTTTCGTTCATATCTACTAATAAGCTGTAGGCACTGAGAACATCGGCCCCGAGAATGGGTTGCTTGACTTGGGCAATTATGAAAACCCACGTGAATCTTCTCCGGAGTCCAAGGTCTAAAATAAGAGGTTGTTCTTTATAACTTTTAATGACCGTGTCGTTAACAGCAATAATTGATAATTCGGTACTTGTGGTGTGCTGTCGTCGTGAGAAGGGAAGTGGGACATTGCTGATTTCTACCCCTGTATCGGCTAAAATGTCTGAGCCAGAAATACGATCCCGGATGTGAAAAAGGCGGCTAGCGTGGTGGCCAGTAACAGACACCGCCATTATTGTCTGGCCGGCCTGTTTCCCTGCGTCTCTTGCTTGTTTGATGTGAAGGTGCACGGTTGTGTGCAGCGACGTGCTTTTGCACCATACTTCAGATGATACCAACAGATTCCAGCTGCCCGCTTAGGTGACCTAGGGCGCTGTCTGGAGACTGCTCTTCTTCTAAACGTGGATCTAGCTGGTCGGGAATGGATCGTTGCGATAGTGGCCTGCAGTGATGCGAAATCAACTGTGTTAACTGTTGCTGGATGTTAAATATGGTACTCGTATCTTCTTTACTGGAGTTTTGTATAGCATTAACACAGTGACTATCAGGGTAAATTTCCATCATTTTGTCCTCCATATCTGCTAGATCTTCTAGATTGACGGAATTTCCAGACACGCTAAGAATCTGCCTCACGTTATGTGGTAATCGTTGGAACCCATTTGTTTAATCAAGGTTTCGTCTAATTTATACGAACCTGCTAGTTGCTTCATATTTCGTAACAGTTGCGATGGTCTCTTGTCTCCTAGTTCGCATGATGTTGACAGTTGCTGTAGTCTTTTTTTTCCGAGACCGATGTACGTTGTAATACTGTGGCTTTGATTTTGTCGTAACGTTTGATCTCTGGTACCTGGTCGATTAAATCTCCGACTTCGGTAACGATTTCAATAGGAAGTGCACCGACTATGTGACTCATAGCTGAGGAGTATTTCTGGCATTTTTTCTCAAGCTCCCTAATTTCTCCTACGCGTACATCGTTAATTATATCCAACATAAATACTGACGTTTGTTTGGTACACCGATCAAGAAACATATTGTGACAAGACTGATTTGTATCTTTTGTATGCTCTTAAATATCTAACAAGGTAAGCGCTTACTAACTAAACTTCCTGGAAACGTTATAATAAGCTTACCTATCGTGAGTGAGTAAACGAATTCACTTTTAACTCCACCGTTCAATTTCCTTATCAACCAATGGATTTCACTTTAATATTTCCAGGAAAAGATATTGTTGGGATTGCTGAAACGGGATCTGGTAAAACAGGAGCTTTCCTTCTACCCATAATTCAAGTAAGTAAAATATTTTGCCCGGAAGTATGTAGTAATCTCGATACTAACACATACAACTGCATATTAATATGTTTCTTTGCAATAATTCACTGTTTAATTGATTATTCTATGCCCCTAATCGTAAATGTAAGTTTTAACGTATAACAATAGAGCTCTTTTGACTCAGTTTATCCATCGGAGTCTGTAACCTTCAGTCAGTAGAGCATGAGACTCTTAATCTCAGGATTGTGGGTTCAAGCCCCATGTCTAATATCGTCCGGTGAGGTAGTTCATCGTATCTGCTAGTTGCCGGCCTTAACTCCGCCTGCAGCTCCTGCAGGGTTTCTGCCGGTCCCAAGCCCGGGTGAAGGAGGAGTGTTGAGCATCGGGTCAGCAACTCCATCCCGTAGAAAATAACCTTGCAAAACAACACCAACCAGATTAAACAAATTCAACCATTTAAACTCTGCTCTGGCAGTTGAGGGAAGAATTATGACGCCTCAGGATGAAAGACGGGATTCTTTGGAAGTCGCGAGGCCGATACCCCTTCTAACAACCGGAGCAACAATTTTTATAGGTACACGAAACGTCCGGACAATCTGGGAGGCCGAGATGACCAGTCAAATAGCAACGGAAATGAGGAGATACAACTCAGAATCAGCGAAACCAATTGGACCCAAGCTAGATAGCAACGGCTAGATTCGAGAGAGATGCTGTACTCCGGTCATACGGAAGTAACTGGTCGTATCATGTTTAAAATCTCCATAGTCTTAAAACTCCTAAGAATGAAGCTGTAAAAACAACAGGTGAATAAATTAATACCATTAAACTACTAGAGATCACTGAGAAGTCTCACTAAGCTATCTCAGTTTACGACTGGCCCTCTATGGATCGAATAATAAAGGTCCAAATCTCCAAGAGTTATAAATACAACATGATATTCTTCATTATTAACTAACATAACATGTAAAACCACTAACAACAGGGATATATTAAACATTTATCTACTCTTCTTTCCGGGCATCCATGCTTGGGAGCTAGAAAGATAATAATCCAGTCGCCAATTTGAAATCTAGGCGTTCACATCGGTATCCCTAATAAGGTTATTGCTTCATCGTTGAATTTGTTAAATATGCAGTCTCACTCCTATTAATAATTCAGAAAAGATCCATCTTTAATATAATTATGTAGTACATAGTTGTTAGCGAGTAAACTGGTTTTGTGGATATTTTGAACAGTTTGAAAATCCTTTTCATTTCAGTTTGTAATGGATATCATGTTCAAATCGCATAGACCATCTGAATAATTGATTTTTTTGTTCTGTTTCGTTGAAATAATTCTCTCTCTTTTTAATTACATTTTCATTTATTTATTGTTGAATAGTTTTTAAGGTTTCTTCGACTGTTTGACTAAATGAGCCCCCAAACTCCCTGGTACGGCCGAGAGTGAGGAGAGTCGACTTTTCCTCTCGAAATGCTCTGACATGGCCACGTGCATACAATCACTGAAAGGGAAGTCCTACTCAATACCTCACGAACGGAATGTTGTTTACGAAATTGAGTGCACGAAAAGCGAATGTCCGGCGCTTTAACCGGGTTGGTGAACACTGAGAGCCCACTTAGGGCAGTTGGAAAACCGTGATTACAAACCAATGGTACACATGGGCTCCAGTATCCTGAAGGAACAAATGACGCATGAACCAACTATTGGTCACCGGCTACCATGGGAGTACATCTCTTGACATTGCTCCACTGTCTTGTGGATTAAACCTTTAGGTCGACGGCTTCGGTTTGGCCATCCGGGTAGTATCCTAGCCCTCACACAAGTCGAATGATTTATGTGATGCATATCTATTTGGTACCTCCTTGTATCAATGTTTATGTGTTTAAATAAATACATTTATTTTGACTAAATGCAACATCAAACTGTGATTGATATCCAATCATACGATGTGTTCGACTAGTTATGACACTAAATGATTAAGATATGACTCTTAGTGAATTATTGTAGAATACACAAGACTAACCAGTAGAACAAAATGCTTCTAAGTAAATATATTCGCTTACGTGCACAATATTCAATATAAACATAAATACGATTAGGAGTTATTTGCAACATGTCTATTGGAGGAATCCAAATTTTGTAGATATCTCACACATGTGCCTCTGAGAGTCACAATTTGTATCAGTTTAATATAACATTACTAAAATAATGTTATTTCTTTTCGTTTGTTTTGTTTTGATTCATAACTCATTTGTGTATAGCATTGGATTAAATGTGGTCAACCAGTTGGTTTTGCATTAATTTTGGCTCCTACTCGTGAATTGGCTCAACAATTAGCCAATGAGGCTGAACGTTTAGGACAGTGCAAAACAGATGAGTTAGAATTTCATTTAGAAGTAATTCTTCTTGTCGGTGGTGAAGATATGGTAGATCAAGCGTTAAAACTTGCATGGAGAAAACATCATTTCATTGTGGGTAAATGAACTTATATTTTGTTGAGTTCAATATATATTTTTCTCATACGTGTTCAACATTCTTAATGTGAATTGTGATAGCTGTATGCTAAGCTATATCCTTATGATTATGTACATTTTCCCCAAATGCCCTCGTGCGGCGGAGAGTGGGGACAGTCCATTCTCCTTCTCGAAATGCTCTCACATGGCCACGCGTATATAACATCTACCAGGGAAGTCCTACTCATTGCCTTCTCGTGGCGAGGGTGTTGTTTACGAAATTGAGAGGAAGAAAAGCGAATGTCCGGCGCTTTAACCTGATTGGTAGGTACAGAGAATCCATCTAGGTTAGTTGAAATAACCTGATTCCAAACCAATGGTGCACATGGGCTCCAGTATTCTGAAGGAACAAATGGAGTATGAACCAATCGTTGGCCATCGGCTACCATGGGACTGCATCTCCTTACGATCCTCCACTGTCTTGTGTATCAGACCTTCAGGTCGAAGGCTCAGGATGTGGCCCCCTAATGAAACCACCTGCCTCGGTTTGGGCACCCGGGCAGTATCGAAACCCTCACACATATCAAATGAGATTTGTGTGTCGCATATGTATTTTGTGCCTCCTTGTACCAATATCTATGTGTTAAAATAAAATAAAATAAAAATTTACATTTGCTTGAATTCTAATTTATTTACATTTAAGAAGTGCAGAAAAGTGATACATTTGTATATTTTATTTCATAATGTCACTGACCGAAAGTTAAATTCACAAATGCCCTGGAACGGTCGAGAGTGGGGAGAGTCTGCTTTCCCTCTCCAAATGCTCTCATAGTTAGTCAGTCAACAGCAACATAGATCTTTGTACGTACGCACATAAGCTCAAGTTGCCATAACCACATTAGCACAGAGATTCAGTTGTCAATTCAAATCCCATAGTGGTAGAGGTAGTAAGATTATGAGTAGTGATCGGAAAGATTAGGGTTTGAAGATGTTATTCAAGGAGTATAATCCAGTGAAAGAAATTTGGAAAGAGAAAAATAAGGAACATGAGGAATTCAGATTAAAATTAGGGAGATTGGATGCACCTTTGCCATTCGCAAACGATTTTGAACCATGTCATTTAAGGTCTCTAACCATCGGTTACTATCGTCTTGCAGATCCCAATCAGGTAGTCTACACCTGCCAACATGGCTCAATCCACTTGCCAGTGACTTCATGGATTTTTGCCTTGTTTTGGTCTGGCCGCCCTTAGCTTTCTTCCAACCTATTCTCACTTTATGAAACATCTCACGTCGAGGTAGTCGGTGGTTAGGCACACGTAACACATGTCCCAGCCATCTCAAAATGATGAATCTTCCCATTGATTTTAGGACTGCAACTGATCAGTCTCTACTTGGCATATGTGCATCATGTGCGTATTGCCTCGATATTGCCTTAATTCACAAGCATTAAAGCAATATCGAGACAATACGCACAGGTTGCACATATGCCAAGAAGAGACTGATCAGCTGCAGTTCTAACGTCAATGGGAAGGTTCAAGTAAATAATACCACTTGAATTTAAACTTCACCCCATTTCACAAGCACGTGGCTATCAGGACTCATTAGCTAAGTGGATAACGTAATGGCGTTTGAAGCCAACGGTATTAGGTTTGTGTCCCAGAATGAACATCAACTCTGAGATGCAGATACATCTAGCTGACGAGTTCCACATAGGATGAAACGCGCATCCCGAATTCCACTATCCATCTTTGCTTATAATACACTGTAATTCCTGACAATTAATTGCTTTTATCACTTGTATACCAATGGTGTTGAATGTTTATAAAATCGAGTTTTAAAAAAGTAAAAACCTTCAAGTTTTGATTACTGTTGACTAGTTCGACAATAGGACGAAACGGCCGACTAGTGCTTGCACGTTTTCAATAGTGGTCTAACATCAATCAATTCATGATCTCAATCAAAAAACTTAATAATCTCCACAACTCTATATTAATAATTATTCCTTTTTTTTCATACATCGTTTTCTAAAGCAACTCCTGGACGTTTAGTTGATCATTTAAAACAATCAGTAAATTTTGCTACACAACAATTATCAAATATTCGTCATTTAGTATTAGATGAAGCTGACAGAATGTTAAATATGGCTTTCGCTGATGATATTGACAAAATATTAAATTTATATGAAAAACCAAAATCAAAAGGAAAGAAACGTAAACGAAAGACAAAACCACTGTTAGTTCAATTAGCCGATAATAATAATAATAATAATGATATGACTAACAATGGTAAGTATGAATGTCTGTTTGGATGTATCTTTTCGTTTAACGAATTAGGTTTTGGATTTCTATGAGTATTAATGTTTGGCTTTTTTTCGCTAATATTATGGTCTACGCTCAGTACATAAATCTTTATTTATCCAGCTAGCTCGAGAGAAATGAAAAGTTGTGGATGCGCACTACTAAGGAGTCCCACAATAGGACGAAACGGCTGTCCAATGCTTCCAGGCTTTCCATGATGGTCTAGCTTCAATTGACTCATGATCTCAACTACTGAAAAGTATATCACCTTAAAGGTTGAATAAAACTGTTAACGTTCCTAATTGAATACTAGATTCGGTTTCCTAAACTATTCTAGTAACACCTATGCTAAATCTACACATCGACTTGAACATAAGTGAAAAGGCGCGAAACATAGAGGAAAATGTTTTACTGCAAAGATTCGTTTATGTACAAAAAATCTAAAATATTTATAGTATTTTAGATGACTTTGGGCTTCTGGAAACTCCTGGAACGCTACTGAACATAGCAGCAGTATAGGTAATCATCCAATCAGAAACTCGACATGTGACATGTTTCTGACAAAACTTCTATTGAATGCTGATTGGATAAGATGTTTCTCAGATTCTTTTGAGCCTTTTCTGGCATTTTTTCTCGGGGAATTTTCTGGATCCCCTCAACAGAAACTACCCGTGATTCATATATGTTTTCACACAGTATCCAAAATGATCTTAGCAAGAATATATAAATAGTGATTGTGGATTCCAGCTTATTAACACTTTACATATTATCGGTTGGCCTTAAACTTGATATGAATTGCCAGTGATACGTATAACACAAAACTGAATCTCTTGGTTTTTCTTATCCGAAAGTATATATGGCGTACATTCGTTCATAAAGAACCTTAGTGTGTGTGTTGGGTGTGTGTGTAAGAGAACAACATATTTGTGCGTTACATGCTAATTTGCGCTCCTTAGATCTACGCCTACCTATAAGCCTTTACGATACTGGACATAAAATTGGTTCCAGTGTATTGAAGTCCCGTTTTGACATTTATTAAGAACGAATAGAGCAAAGAAGTTTCTTTCCAATTGATTTCTCGTCATGGCTCTACACTAATATATCTATGTATGATGTATAACAATGAAATACTCATCGAGTAGTTGCGTTACGTAATTGTATGATGTCACAGTGATGATAAAATAATATTGAGTAATTGGAAGGAAGCGGATCATGATAATCAAAGTAATTATTCGGAAAATCAATCAGTTGCTACATTGCATAATACATAAAGAGAAAAAAATAACAAAAGTTCTTGATTAAAGGTCAGTATTATAGTAGTTATGCTCAGGGATCAAGGGACGAATTTTGAGAACCTAAAATACATCGTGGAAGAAACTAGAAAATAGTTGAATTATTGAGTCGGTTTAAGCTAAACCACCATTAAAAACCTGGAAGCATTGGACAGCCTCCGCAACGCGCATCCACGATCTCACATGCGGGACTCGGACTCAGGACCTTTGATCTCGCGTGCGAACGTTGAACTTCTAGACTATTGAGTCGCCATCGAACGGTGTTAATGTCCAACTCCGATCGACGCATGATCTTGCGTAACCCTTAATCCATTGTCTGGGATGGATAATTGTATGTACTCGAAACGGATTGAACCCCACTGGTCACGGCTTCTCACTAGATGCGCACTGCTAAGGAGTCTTGTATTAGGACGAAACGGTCGTCCAGTACTTTCAGGTTTTCAGTGGTGATCTATCTTAGATCTACCCGTGAATTCAACTATTAAAATTTCTACAATCTTTACAACCCCCTATTCCGATAGCTAGAAGATAGTTTAAATATTTCTGAAGGGTTTCATCAAAGTTCAGCTCACAACTCACTTTTATACCGATGGCCAATGTAGCGGGAGTGATGGTACGTACGACTTTTGAATGTAAATGTTTGGTTTGTGAACATGGATTTCAATGGCTTTAGCAATGTGCAACAGATGAACTCGTAAACTATATAGTAAATTTGATAGAATATGGTGGATAACCTTAAAAGCTTTTTTCAAGCCAACTTGATTGATTAATTTTGCGTTATGATTAATGTTCTTCATGAATATCCGCCTGTTTTCTATTCAGTCAGTTTTCAGGAAGAGTGACAATGTATAATTCTAACAACTCAATGATATATATATATATATATATGAACGACACTACTAATTCACTGTTATCGTTATTATAAGGGGCTTACAGTGATTGTTGAATTTGCAGTTGATATCATGGACTAATTTTAGTTAAGCAGCATTCCAAAATCAGGAAGTTCCAGAAAACTATTTTTTCCTAGTATGAAGCTGCCCAGCAGTGCGCATCCAAGACTCTACCATGAATTGGGTCCAGGACCTTCGAATCTCGCCGTGAGCTCGTAACTTTTAGATATCTGAGTCACTGTCCAAGAATATGCATTTTTAATCTCAGTCAGTTCGCATTATTGTGTGATCTCGGTAACCTCATTTATTTATTTGAACACATAAATATTGGTACAAAGGGGCACCGATAATATATGCCACACAACTCACTTGATTTGTGTATGGATTGTGATACTAGCCGGGTGCTCAAACCGAAGCAGGTGGTTTTCTTAGGGGGTCACACCCTGAGCCTTTAACCTAAAAGTCTAATCCACAAGGCAGTGGAAGAACGTCAGGAGATGCAGTTCCATGGTAGCCAGTCACCAATAATTGGTTCATACGCCATTTGTTCCTTCAGGATCCTGGAGCCCATGTTCACCATTAGTTTGGAATCAGGGTTTTCCAACTTCCCTAGGTGAACTCTCCGTGTTCGCCAACCCGGTTAAAGCGCCGGACATTCGCTTTTCGTCCTCTCAATTTCGTAAACGACGCCCCGTTAGTGAGGCAGTAAGACTTACGTGGCAGTGGCTGTGTAGTGAACAAGAACACGGGTGGTGACAATCGAATGTATTTGACACAAAATTACAGGACTTGTTAATAAAACCTAACAATCATAAAGTAAATGCTTAATTTGCAAAATGTCTATCAGTTTTCTCAAAATGACTCAGACTTCATTGTTCTTGCATTTTTATACAAATTCCACTTTGTTTCCATTCTTTACTGTTGGATGGTCTTGTCTCTCTGCTTCCAGACCTTTTGTTCATGACTAACATCATATACTACTTATGTCACCCGACCGTTGTTGCTACCTTGACGTGGTGGTCGGGCTTGTCTATTGTGATGAAGCAACCAAGTTATACTGGCTGGAACAACCGTTCCTCAAGGTCCTACCATGTCAGACAGGTCGGTTGAAGAGCGGTAACACTAAAAGCAACAAACCTAAGGTCCGAAGGCGAAGTCGTACTGGTGACTGTACAGAGGTGTGACAGCAGTAAGGTGTTTCCTTCAGACAACCAGCATGACAGCGATGCTGCCCTCCCACAAGTACGGGTGGGGTTAGAAAAGGTCGACTCTAAAAATATACACCTCGCCTTATCCCACCGATATCCGTCTCTGGCGGTAAGGTATCAACAAGTACGGAGCTAACACAAAAATTACTCACTCAAAGGTCATGTGTGACCGACCTCAAGCAATTGTCACTTGGGCACTGCGGTCACGCTCTCAGGTCACCAAGACCACATCTAACCCAATTTTCTTTTTCAGGTTCCTCCAGAAGAACCCTTCCACGGTGTGGGCAACCGGGAACTGATAACCACCCTCATACCTCTAAAAGCACTCAAGACCATTGACTGACTACTTATTTCAATATAAGTAGCACACACCACAGCTGTATACGCGTGTCCATTCGAGAACATTTCGAGAAGAAGAACGAACTCTCCCCACCCTCGGCCATACCATGGCATATTTGAACTCCATTGGTAATAGTGAAACAAATATTCAGTTGCTACCTCATTTTCAGTGGTTTTCTAAGTTTGTGATATAACCTTTATTCATTTGTTACCATCGAATAAATAACCACATATTTTTTTGTGTATATATTTCTTAACTCTAATATGTATGTAACACTTTTAGACATTCAGTCAAATAACAAACAGATTCAGTCAATTTCAACCAAATATCCTCATCCACAAATTTATTTATATTCGGCTACAATGACAAAAGATGTTATCAAACTACGTCGTGCTGCATTATCATCAAATGCTGTATTTATCAATGAGAATGATAATACCCTTAATAATAATAATAATAATCTAATGATGGATAATCAGAGTACAACAGAATATAATCTTATACAACACTCTAATTCATCATTGAAATTAAATAAAAATTTAAAAACTGGTTTCCCTATTGGTTTATCTCATTATTGTCTTCCTATACGATTGGCTGATCGTCCTACAATATTAAATTGGATTGTAGAAAATGTGATACAAACAAATGTATTAGAGAAATTCGGCATTACTAGTAAGTAACATATTCATATATATGTGTATGTTAATCAGTTCTTTTCTTTCTGAAAAGAAATAGATCCAATGAGTTGTATCTTTCAATGATCATATCGTTTGATCTTTTGTCCCTGGTATATCCGAGAGTGGAGTGGGCCCTCCCTCTCTTTCGAAATACTTTCACACGGCCACGCGTATACAGCCTGTGCCAGGGAAGTCTTACTCATTGTCTTCTCCTGGCAGGGGTGTTGTTTACGAAATTGAGAAGACGAAAAGCGAATGTCCGGCGCTTTAACTGGATCCCAAACCAGTGGTGCACATGGGCTCCAGTATCCTGCGGGAACAAATGGAGTATGAACCAATCGTTGGTCACCGGCTACCATGCGACTGTGTCTCCTCACGATGCTCCACTACTTTGTTGGTTAGACGTTTATGTCAAAGGCTCGGGGTGTGGCCTCCTAAGGAAACCACCTGCTTCGGTTTGGGATCCCGGGCAGTATCACAGCCCACCCACAAATATAATGAAAATGATGATATTTACTGAAAACCTTATTGTCGCTTCGATTTACAGTCAAACATTTTTTAGTGTGGCGCATATATATTTGGTGCCCTCTTGTACCAATATTTAAGTGTTCAAATAAATTAATAAATTGATCTTTTGAATCATTAGATTATCTTATTCGAATCAGTGAATGTACACTATTTTGTTGATGACTTTTAGAGAAGCTTAAAATTATTAATTAGCAATTTTTGTAGGTGACACTGTAATGAATGTACACTCAGGTAGGGAAGACTGATTTTATTATTGGATGAGTGCTGTTAGAGATACTCATTCATAGTATTAGGGAATGATGGTAAATCAGTTGATGAAGTTGTGGATCTTCATTAACTGAGATGGTTGGGCCACGTGTTACATATGTCTGAACTCCGATTATCATGACGCGCAATGCTAACCGGTGTCGGGAATGTCTGGAAGAAAGTTAAGGGCTGCCAAACCGAAACGTGGCATCAGTCCGTAAAGTCACTAACTTCTAGTCTGAGCCATGTTGGTATATGCAGACTACTTGATTGTAGTCCGCGTGACTATCGGAACCAATGGTTGGAGACTGTGTGTGAACATGGCTCAGAATCGATAACAATGGTGTCGGTGTATACACTCTCTATCTTCCCTCAAACTAAGAGATTAAAATTGCTTCATTATCTTTCTACGAACTAGTTCTTTCTTCCTGTACTATATCCTTATATGTAATCTTTCTTTTATATATTACCACCACTGAATTAACTACTCCCATGAATCCGGTGTTCATCTTGTTGTGTTAATGAGGTATGGTAACTTGGACCGATGAATATATGTGCCTGGTCCTACGTTGTAGCTGACTGACTGATTGTTGAATAAACAATCACACGGTACCTTAGTAAAATGTGAAAATCATACGTCAAATACAACATTTTCACATCTTCGAATTGTCTCTTACAAGCTTCATTGTTCCTTCATTTTTGTTGTTATCTGGATTGCTTTCAGTTTCATTGTCTCTTTTTTTTCATTTTCAATCTTTTTAATCTTCTGCTCTCAGATATTCCACTTACTATTGGTGCTATTTACTACTTATATCTGTATACATAAATAACATACACCACAATACGAATAAATAATTTAGTGCACAAAACCCTTCAAAATTATTAAAAGTTTGGGATAAAGGGGATAAATGCTTTGTGGTCATACGGATAATTACCTATGCACTCAAGCAACTAGCTCTTGATGGAAATATAAGTGAACTCAACGGAGAGAACAGAGAACCTCATCAGTGAATAACTTGAATATTGATTTCCAAGGTTGTTCTCAACCATCCTATCTATGAGAAACAGTTATAAGTAATGGGGGAAGAGTGTGGTTGAATGTGTCATATATTGCAAACTGACTAAACCATTAAATCTCACCATAAAAACTAATAAATATCATCACAATTGATTGATCACTGGGTGGTGACCAATGTCATGTGTGCCAAGTCCTTATTAGTGCAGGTCGAATGCTATCGGCCAAGTCGCAATGTGGCCACCAGTCTAGGTGGCTCGACACTGCGTGCACTATTGTGAGATTAGATGATGGTTGGAGGTAGTCGACAGAAAACCCTGGACCCGGGTTTTGTGCTACTTGGCACTCGTCAGCAAGGTGTACTTGTAATCTTGAAGGAACTGTTGCTCCCTGACGGATCCTCCGTCAATTTGTTATAACTTGTGCCCTGTGTCATATTAATGTATAATGTGATAATACCGCCAATTAGAGAGCAGTGAATTGTCGATCGGACCAATGTTGTATAAAACCCGTACAAGCAGCCTTGAGTCCTTATCGGTCCTGCTTTCCGCCTAGCCTAGCCTGTTCAATCCAGAACACCAATCTCCGCCTCTGTTATATGAATCATGTACTTCAAACATACGGGGTTTATATACCAATCAGACAGACCACACCGTACCATATAATAGAATATAACATTTGTACAAGATCTAGCCAAATGTAACTGTGAATGTGGGAGATAGTAATTGATAAACTGGGCATAACTCAAGAATGGTAAATCGTATAATAATAATCTATGGGTCAAATGGAAACTTATAATAAAAGGAACATGAATATGAATAGTTTAGTTATCTAACAATTATACGTATAATATTGGTCCATAAACGGATCCTTACAGTTACCATTCATTATTCTCATCAAGATATAACACAATTATTATCCTTTAAACTATTACTAATTGTTTATTTAATTTTTATAGGTTCTACACCAAGTCGTAAACATCATATCATGATATTTTGTAAAAGATGTCATGAAACTATAATGGTTTCAGAATTTCTTCGTGAATCTGGTCATTCCAGTGTGGCATTAACAGGACGTATGAAACAAATTGAACGTAAAGAATCATTAAATAAATTCATTTCAAGTGAAGTAGAAGTTTTAGTTGCAACTGATGTTGCTAGTCGGTATGTTGATTACAAAAAAATATAACAGATTATAGCTAATGTTAACTCGAATTCCTAATCCTTAGTTTTAACTCTCAATCTTAATCCTAATTTCAATGGTTAAGATCATGAGTCAGTTGAAGCTAGACCACCATGGAAAACCTGGAAGCACTGGACGGCCGTTTCGTCCTATTGTGGGACTCCTCAGCAGTGCGCATCCACGACCTCGCCCCCTGAGGTGGTCTAGCTTCAACTGACTCATGATCTTAACCATTGAAATTACTACAATCTCCACAAAAACCCATCTGATTTTAATCCTAATTCCTTACACTACTCTATAACCCTCATCCAATCCTAGTAGGTAGATGGGACTTTTGAAGATCACTTCAGTGTCGTTCAATGGTCGTCCATAAATTATAGGCTCGCCGAAGTGCTTTTCTATTAATTAATCGTCTTTTTTATAAGTGGATGTACAGTAATTACTATCTTTAGTGTAAAGTAGCCTGTCTTAAAGGGGAATACGTTTTTAAAGGGTATGTAATTTATTTAAAACCCTCTTACCTCCCACCATTCGCTTGTACCTTTCTTCTACCAATCAGAGGCGTAGTTTCAGCTGGGCGATGAAATGCTCATTATCGGATATACTAAGGAAGTGAGAGTGAAATAATCACACAAGTACTTTTTTGAAAAAAATAAAAAAAGTTGAACATTTATGAATTCTATTCTCCACCGCCCCACTATGTGCAGAACTTATCAACAGATTATGTAATGCAAAGACATTAGTCAGTATTCTGTATCATTTTGTGTATTATGCTTGAACTAATCATGTTTGCGCTCCTAACCCGATGATTTGATTGTGCTTATTAGTCCATGCAAAGCCCCTCTTCCTTGCTCCCAGGTTCCAACCCGACCAAGAGAAAAATACCTTTGTGACTTCTGTATGTTAACTTGAAAATCCCGCATGATTGAACACTTGTCCTGTACATCCCTGACCGAATATCACTTGCCCAGTCAGGATCCTACCCCTACTTTGTAGCTCATTGTCCCTAAACTGTTTAGCTACGCGCCTGATCAGCACTATTGACCTTGAACTGATAGCCAAGTTCCTGTTGGTCTACTATTCTAAAGCTTCCCTCTATGTCTTGCTATTGAGTTCTAAAGTCACCAACCAGCCTGTATTACATTTCTATTTCAAACAGAAGTGGTTTATATACAGACATACTCGATCCACATAACACCACAGAGTAAAAAATAACAATACATGAACAGGCCGAAAATGGATGTGAATATAGGAGACTGTAGATAATTGACTGACAACAATTTAAGAGTAATAAGTTGTACAACAACCGAAAGCTTATGATAAATGGAATATATACACACAGTAATCGACTTATTCAATGGTTATACATTAAAGTTATAATTTTAACAGTTGAATCCATGAATCGATCTAGGCTAGACCACCACTGGACGGCTTTTTCGTCCTAGTATGGAACTCTTCATCAATGCGCATCCATAACTCCTCACGCACGAATCGAACCTAGGACCTTTAATCTTGCACGCTTAAACTGTTCAGTACTTCTTAGTCTTCAATAGTTATCTAACCAAAGTCATTCCTTAATGTGAAATTAACATGTTGTTTATCTTCAATTAGTAATGAATTATTTCTTTTTTACTCTTCAGGGGACTGGATATTCCTCATGTTGAATTTGTTATCAATTATAATGTACCTTTATCGGAAAAGACCTATCGACATCGTGTTGGTAGAACTGCACGAGCTGGACAAACTGGTGTAGCGTTAACCCTAGTAACACGTGATGTAGCTCAAAGTTTTTTAGAATTAGAAGCTGCTTTACTACCTTATCTTCCATTATCAAATACCAATAATAATAATTCACCGGGAATACCTCGTTGGCCAATTCCACTACCGGATTTACATGGTCGGAATGGACTGTTAACTCGTCGTCGTCTAGCAGATCAAGCTTGGTCGAGAGCTTCAAAGGTAATTTCGTTTTGCTTTTTTTTGAATTTGCTTAGTCGTTAAATTGTTCTCCATGAGTTAGTACCTGATAGGTTGTATTTTCCATACGTTCTATTATTTCTCTATTACTGATTATTGTGTCGTAGAAAAGGAACACTATTTGTACATCACTATGATTCATTGATTTGGATCACTGTGAAAATGACCCTATGATGATTGTTGGTAAAAGGTTCGACTAGCTTTTACCAACTTGCGTCATTTATGGTGTAGGCGAGATATCCGTCTATCAACCAAAGGACGTGTTTACTGCACAGCAGTTCGTTCCGTCCTACTTTATGGTAGTGAAACATGGCCGGTAAGAGTAGAGGATATTCGTGTAGGTGTAGGTGTAGACTACCTGGTTGGGGACCGCGAGATGATAGCAATCGATGGTTAGAGACCCTGAATGACATGACTCAAAATCGTTTGCAATGGCGCAGGTGCATACACTCTTTGTGTTCTCCAAATTCTAATCTCCTGATTCCTCCTTGTCTCTTTTTTTCTTTTCCCAAATTTATTTCACTGTATTATACTCTTTAAATAACGTCTTCAAAACCCTAATCTTCCCGATTACTGCTTATACTCTTACTACCTCCACCACTATGGGATTTGAATCGACAACTGCATCTCTATGCTAATGTGGTATGGCAACTCGTACTGATGTACGTACGTACAAAGTTCTACATTGTTACTGACTGATGATTGTTCAGTGCTTTATGACTTTCTTTCATACTGCGACTTTATCCTACGGTAATGTTTTGATTACAGACGACTGAAATCCTCTTATCAAGAATAAAAGGTAATAGTGACTCGATAGTAGAGTAGATTGGAAGGAAGCTAGGGGCTTCCAGACCAAAATATGGCATAAGTCCATGAAGTCACTGGCAAGTGGACTGATTCATGTTGGTAGGTGTAGACTACCTGGTTGGTAACCGCGAGCTGATATCAACCGATGGTTAGAGACCCTGAATGACATGGTTCAAAATCGTTTGCAATGGCACAGGTTCATCCACTCTTTGTGTTCTCCCAAATTCTAATCTTCTGAATCCTTCATGTCCCTTTTCTTTTTCTCTTTCCAAATTTATTTCACTGGATTATACTCCTTGAATAATATCTTCAAACCCTAATGTTTCCGATTACTGCTTATACTTTTACTACCTCTAGTACTATGGGATTTGAATCGACAATTGTATCTCTGTGATAATGTGATACGGCAACTCGAACTGATGTGTGTACGTACGAAGTTCTACGTTGTTGCTGACTGACTGTATGAGCAATTAAATAAGCTTTTACGTAGATCTGTATTTGGTAAATATGAGTCATAGAAGCTGTCGAACTAATAGTTATTGTATCAGTCAATATTCATTTGGTATAATCAGCTTGCAAGTGAATTTCTTTTTCACTCGCTATTGTTAAATCTTTCCACTTCAGACTATTCGATCCCATCTTGAAAGTCATCGTAATGTAGACAATAATCTAATTGATTTAGATCCAATAATGAATGAAGAATTAATTGAAGCTTATGCTAATTCTGATGAAGATGAGCATAGTAATATCTCTAGTTCATCATTGTCAAATGATGAGTTAAAAATCAATGAAATATCAACAATATCAAATAAACACTATCCTATTATCCCATTAGATACATCCGGTCAAGCTGGTATTAATGCTGCACGTAAAACATGGAAATCTTTAGCTAAAATACATCAACTTCAACAAAAAGCAAAAGCAGAATCAGTAGAACAACAACGTTTAACTAAATCTATTGGTTGGGGTGTTACTTTAACAAGAAACACACTGAATAATAACAATAATGAATTCGATGATAATGACATAATGGATCGTTTCAATAATGAAAATATCAATGATGATGATGATGGTGATGAACAAGAGATAACTCATTTTGACCAACCAATTAAAACAAAATATGCTAAAATTCAATCAATGAAAAAAGTGAATAAATTGAAATCCAATAAAATCAAATGATGATAAGGTAACAATTTTCATTTGATTTCTTCAACACTTATGCCTGTATATACATTTGTCAGTATTTTTCTCTTGTTTCAATAAACTGATTATTCTGTGTGAAGAAGTCATTATTGTTTCTGTCTAGCTTTGATTTTATGTAGATGTATTGTGTATTTGGTTAAGAGTGGAGTTCTCAAGATATATGTGTTTCGTCCCGTTTTGGAGGATTCGTCAGTTCTTAGTTCTTATTTGAACAAATAGTTATTGGTATAAAGGTGCACCGAATACATATGCACCATACAAGTCACTTGGTTTGTATGTTGTAGGCTGTGATACTGCTTGTGTGCCCAAACTGAAACAGGTGACTTTCTTAGAGGGCTGCACCCTGAGCCTTCGACCTAATGGTATAATCCACAAGGCAGTGGAGCAACGTCAGGAGATGTAGTCCCAGGGTAACTGATGACGAACACTAGGCTCATACTGTTTGTTCCATCAGGATCTTGGAGCCTATGTGCATCATTGATTTGTAATCAGGATTTTCCAACTCCCCTAGGTGGATCCTTGATATCCAAAAAGTCGAATAAAGCGCCGGACATTCGCTTTTCATCCTTTCAATTTCGTAAGCACCATCTAGGCAGTGAGTAGAACTTTCCTGTCAGTGGCAGTGTACGCAATGTTATGTGAGAGAATTTCGAGAGTGAGAGCTGATTCTCCCCTCGGCCATATTCGATAATTTTGATGTTTGATCATATTTCCTTAGAAAATCTTGGACCAAATTTCCAGGCAAAACGTTGAATTTACTTCTAGTTCATCCGCTGAGAATTTACAAATACATTCTTCCTCTTTAATATCTTATATCAGCTCGGTGCCCCCCAAAAAAACTATTCGATCAAATTTAGACGAATGTTCTTATTTATATTCAGCTAGATATATCTGTACCAGAGTTAACGTGCACTTCAGGACTTAAAATTGATGCCAATCTCCTCAGTCGTAATAGAGTTATCCACATTGCTACCAAATCCAGATGGTCTTTGGCTTGTGTATTTGGATCGTGAAAATTACTAAATTCAACTCGAGCTACTCACTAATATTAAGTAGTTCAGCATGGAGTAAAGAAATATTAGGAATAATAAACAAATCAATATGCTTTTTTACATAATAACCAAATCTTTATTGTAATACCAAAAGTGATGAATCCATTGTCGAAACATTTTCATATAGGTAGGAATCATGAGCTAGCTAGGTATGCAACAAAACATCAACTCCGTTATGCAGGCACATGCGGCTGACGTGTTTCAAAGAGGATGAAACGCGCTCCCTGGATTTCATTGTTAGCCACCGTCATCTCAGCTTATAATGTTATTTCCTAATATTTCAATTCAATCAATTATGTTTCCATTTGATATTTGTCCACTTTAAAGCATATTTTTCAATAATCTGATTGATGACATGAATTCTGATGGTGAGATTTTAATGATTTAACCTTTACCTTAAGGTACTTTAGCTTACCAAACCATAATTGATAAGACTATGCAAAGTGATTAATCATAAAAGCTCCTCACTAATTATTGTCATTTCCTGGTTTCACATACGTAACTGTTTACTTGGACAAGGCACAAATGAAGTGCATACTAGTCACTTTAACTTATTTGTAAATACTTCGATGTAATCTCTATGTTCACTGATCATATACCTTAACCGTAGAATAAGAGAATTTTCGGAGGAAGGCAATATAATACACTTTCAATAGATATATTCATATAAATCATGTATAAGATGCCTGGTAAAGGTTCACATTTCCATTATAAATTTAAAAACATTTCTCCACTAATTAAAAGGAGCCTTTTTGAATGTTAAGTATATAACGTAGGTAATTGTACGACCATATTTTGACTTAGAGTTGTCATTATTTTGTTGTTGTTGTTGTCTTTCAATGAACTTACGTCGTAGTTATTAACTTCATATAACGTTTTGTTTCAGTCAGTTAGTCAACTACAACGTAGGACCAGGCACATATATGCATCGGTCCAAGTTGCCATACCTCATTAACACAACAAGATGAACACCGGATTCATGGGAGTAGTTAATTCAGTGGTGGTAATATATAAAAGAAAGATTACATATAAGGACATAGTACAGGAAGAAAGAACTAGTTCGTAGAAAGATAATGAAGCAATTTTAATCTCTTAGTTTGAGGGAAGACAGAGAGTGTATACACCGACACCATTGTGATCGATTCTGAGCCATGTTCACACACAGTCTCCAACCATTGGTTCCGATAGTCACGCGGACTGCAATCAAGTAGTCTGCATCTACCGACAGGGCTCAGACTAGAAGTTAGTGACTTTACGGACTGATGCCACGTTTCGGTTTAGCCACCCCTAACTTTCTTCCAACCATCTCCAACACAGGTTAGCATTACACGTCATGGTAATCTCTTAGTTTAAGGGAAGTGCGTAGTCACGCGGACCCCAACGTTTTGTTTATTTGATTTTCGTTCTGCTTAATATTTGATTGCTTTAGTTCTGAGATAATGATGAGAAGATTGATTCTATGCGACAAATTCTTTTACGAATACTCATCATATGTCTCTTGGTATATCCATGGTAGAAAAGAAGGGATCTATGAGATCCTAGTTTAGTGTATGTTACTTATACTAACAGATATAAGTAGTATGTAGCATCAATCGGAATCAGAATGCCTGTCAGTAGGTGATTGAAATAAAGAGAACAAGAAGGAAGTTGGAATGTAATCGAAATAACAATAGAATGAGAAGAATAGTGGTGTATGTAAAAGACAACGCATAGAAGCTGTGCAAAGAATGTATTAAACGTATAATTTTAATATTTTACTAAATCACTATCTGATTTCGCATCAAACAATAAATTGGCATTCTTCATCCAAGTTGTCGATCACTACACTAGTATTGAAGTGTCGTTAACAGTTATAGCCATTATCACAAAAGTATCACAGAAACCAATTAGTTGTAAACCTATTAATTTAGTTCAGTGGTCAGGACTCTAATGAACTAATTGTCTTAAGCTATCTTGCAATATAGACTGACTGCAATGGAAGAGTCTATTGCAGCCGATGTCAGTTGGATAGAAATTTTGTCTTACATTTAGACGTTGCAACCTTGATTGAGATTAAATCCAGAATCGTCCGCTCTTCTGAATAGAAAAATACTTTATAATTAATGAGTTAAAATCTAGTGATCCATATTTTCGAATTCATTCGGATCACAAAGTAATACGATTGTCAATCAGTTTGGTCACTGATTTCTCTCTCAATCTTACCGTTGATCAACTCCTATCTACTTCCAACTGACATACTGAGGCCCCTACAAGATATCAGTGATGGACTCGAACAGTTCAGTTGTAATGTCTTACATTATGAATTTAAACGACCCAGGATTAAATAACAAACAAAGTTCCAGTCTTCTTAAGATTTTGTGTATACCTCACTAATGAGTCAGAACTAGCGGAAAAATTAGGTCTAGAAGTCTAGTTGAATTCTGTCATCAACCACCTGATATATTAATTTGTATAAAGAAGAAACAATAAAATTTATAACAAAAGATACTGAATTCATCAATCTGTTTGAATGCATTTATTTACCATAGCTTCTATAGAATTTAATAGTTGAATTCATGAGTCAATTAAAGCCAGATCACCATCCGGAAGCACTGGACGGCCGTGTCGTCCTATTGTGTGACTCCTGAGCAGTGAGCGTTCACGATCTCGCCTCGCGAGGTGCGAACCCAGGGTCTATCAGTCTTGCGTGCAATCACTTAACCACTGAGCCGGCATCCAGTGGTGTTCATGTCTAACATCAAGCAATCCACGAAATTGAGCGACGCATCCACTATTGTCATTAGTGAGTTGCTATTTCACAACAGATCGATATGTCCTGGGATCGAATCCATCAGGGAGCATCAGTTCTCTTAAGAATAATGCAAGTACACTTTACTGACGAGTGTCAAATAGCACGAAACCCGGGTTGAGGGTTTCCTGTTGACTACCGCCAACCTTCATCTTTTCTCAACATGGTTCACGCAATGTCGAGTCACTTAGACTGATGACCACATTGCAACTTGATCGATAGCATTCGATCTGTAGTAAGAAGGACCTTAAATACATGACATTAATCACCACCTAGTGATCAATTTACTTGTAAATACATCTCAATCCTATAAGAGATCAGTAGTGGCCTAGATAGATCAGTGGTAACATCTCTGACTGTGAAACTGAGTGACACGTAGTCGAATCTGTTATGGAGTATCAGTTCGTTCAAGAATAATGCAGGTACTCCTTGCCGACGAGTACCAATTAGTACGTAAGTTAATTCCACGGTTTCTTGTTGATTATTTCCAAACATCATCTTATATCTGATGTTAATGAATTGTTTACAGGTCTTGTTTTGTTGTTGTTCTTCTTCATTTCTTTGTTTATTTACTTATTTATCTTCCTTTTTTATTTTGAAAAACAAACAAACAAACTCGAAAACAAGAAATAATAATGAATAATTTAATTAAGTTGAATTATCAATTTCACATGAGTTATCTCCTCTATTAAGTATGTTATCATTGATACCTCAAATAAATGAAGTGAGTAGTTGTTGTATGGACTAACAAGGAGAGGGGAATACAAAAATTATGTTTAGTGAAATAAACAAATACATATATACCGTATACACAGAAGTAAACAAGAAACTGAGAAAGAGTATTAGAGCTGGAAAGTAGAAATATGTGGAAGATCTAACAGTGATAGCGGAAAAAGCTGCATGAGAAGGAAATATGAATCAACTAGATGATACAACAAAGAAACTAGCAGGGAAATATTGTAAACTAGAACGATAAGTTTAGAACAAAGGAAGCTAACCATTCAGTGAGATCCAAGAATCGTAGAACAAGTAGGTAGACCACTCTGAAGAGTTCTTAAATACACCACCTCCATTGTATCCACTGAACATCGAATCAGCATACATAGACCTTCCTATAGATGTTACTCCACCAACGA